TGATTGAGTCAACTATATTCATATAAGTCAAGGACTCTAAATCTGCCATTTTTCCACTCCCCCCTCCCAAACCAAAAAAAAAAAAAAAAAAAGCGCATGCATATCCTTTAATCTAGGATATGCAGTAACATGCTACAAATTAATGGTAAAAGACAAGTACTTACAACAAGTATACTCTCGAAAAACGTCGCCTTAAGTTTGCATACTTCATCACAGGTTTTATTTCCTGATCCACTGTCAAGGCTACCTTCAGCGAGAAATCTTTCTAGTGCCCTATGAGATGGGTACTGAATTGACCTCAGCGGATCTGACACATAGAGGACAGTGTATTTTGCTCCCAAATGCTCCATGTGACTAATTAAATCAGTTAAAACTTGGCCTGAATATTTTATCCAATTATTTCATGTTAGTATACAAGATAACATGATTGCTTGCATCACTAAAAGAAACATGTTTAAAAATTAAGCATACCCTCAGAAGTTTGTTCCTCCGATCCTTCCATAGTACTGGAACCACTGTGACAGAGAACAATTAGATCTGATTGTCCCTTGGATCTCTTCTCCATTCTTGAAACCAAATAGTTCTGCACGTACATGAAATTAAAATAAAAAAAGTTAATCATTTGTTATTTAGATGAATCATAATTTTTAAAGGGTTTGTTTTGTGATATAAAGAGCAGTGAATCATAGAATCTGCTACTATTAACCTGAACTGAGAGGATGTCTGGAAGCTTCTCAAAATTTCCACCCCCTACAGAGCATGACTCTAAGAAAGCTACTTTACTGGTTTCTAAATCATGCCCACATGTATCAGTGAACTCTGAAACAAGTGAGTTTTCCACTGAATGGCTGTCCTCTGATGCCGCAATATAAGGAAATGCCAAAGAGAAGTTGGAGTTAACAAAAGAGCCCTGTTCACAAGAACACGCATATAGAACAACTTAATCTAAGGTTTTCTGACCACAAAATTCACTTCTGTAGTTATCTGAGACAAAATTTACCTTGAGCAAGTCGACCAGGGAAGAATCCGCTTTTCTAGGTCTAGAAAGATCTTGAGAGTGTAACTGCACATGTAAAAATTTAGTCAACAACCCATGCAAAGTTTAAAATAAGAAGTTTCCCACATCATGATGTCAATTGTCAACAGTGTTCAAATAGCAAGTCACACTATAATCTTGTCATGCCATGAAAAGGCAAATACATGATAGATAAAGTGTAACTGCAAATTTCTTTGGCCAGTAAATCAGCTCATGTTGTTTTGTTCAGGAAGTTATCTGAAGTTTTTCATAAACACGATATACAAATAGCATTCACAGGTTTGTTATATAACAATTGCATAATTTGACTTAATAGTTTCTTCATTGAATGAATATATCTGATAATGATCCAAATAGTTTAAGAAATGGTAATTGATAAGATGATTACAAATGTACCTCTTTCCCGACAAAAATAAGCCCAATATCTAGATGTTGCTGAGCTCCCTTATCTGAACACTAATGAAGGTAAAAGATACTTTAGTTTTTTCACATAGTAAAAAGTGTAAGATAAAAGGTTGAAAATAAACAAAAGAATAACTATAGCAATATGGGAGAGGGAGAGAGAGAGAGTACCAGCAAGTTTGACCAACCACCTTCAGACATAACAGACTTGGCTAACTCTTTTGGAGTGAGGGTTCTGTAATTTACAGCTTCACTTGTTGGAAATCTATAGCATAACATTAGACAACATTAGGGAATTTTTTAAATATATATACATCCAGAATGACAGAAAGAACTCAAGAAGACATCCTTCCACTTCTACGCTATGGGATCCTCATTACAGATGTGTTTGTTTTGTTAAAAGAGTAACAAGAACATGAAATATAAGAGAGACAGATAGGAGAACAAATGACACAATTTATTTTTTTAAAAGAGGAAGAACATTGTTTTATTTAATTAGCCTCATTAGTAGGTTGCGCCATTTTCTTACTCAAAATCTGACAATTAGCTATTTGCAAGTAATTTTAGGAGGATATCCTCAAGATATACTGTAATACATCAGTTAAGAGAATGAATAAGCATGCTGAATTATGGAAAGGAGAAAACTCTTTGTTTGGCTGGCACAGTAACACTATTTCAAACTTTTTATCCCACCATCCCTAAGGATTTCAGTTGGAGTAGTCTGTACAATGGTTAGAGAGATCTTATTCTTTATTGGGATTCCACATTATTTATCCTAGCACTGCCAGATTAATCCTAACATCACAAAATTGCTTGTGAAGGCTTTATCCAGTTACCTTAAAGGTTAAACCTCACTATATAACAAATGTTAAATAGCTAACAGGACATGCACGTAGTGTGTAGAACAACAAGATAGGCACAGTTATGGAGGATAAGTTTCACAATTTTCTACTTTTATCAGTTGAATTGCATAATTTCACCTCAACCAACCTCAAAAATAATAACTTGCCCAAGGGAAAAAAATGTACTTTTAATGATGATTGCTTATGTACTAACATCTGGTGAAAAGAACATAGCTAAACGGGTGAGAAACGATCCAAGTGATTTGTTTCTTGTTTAATGTATGTCACTATTGCAAGGCATATTGTCCATTTAGTATGTAGCTTATTTTTCAAAACCATAGCTGCATATATCTCTAACTGATAAGCTATGCTAAAGAGAAGAAATTAACACACCAATGAAGTGCAAATCAATCAAGTGTAATACCCCATGGATTAACACCAATGCTTTCTTTTTCATCATAATATATTATGCCCGGGTAGGAAAGAAAACTTTTAGTACTACCCAGTATGATAACAGCTAGAGAGAGAGAATAATATGTACCCATCTTGATGGGGCGACCATAGGAAAGAAGGAACCGTGGAGGGAAGCGTAAGCCCCGGAAGAAACTGAACCGCAACAACCAAAATAGTAGCTAGTAAAGTTGCAACTGTCTTCATCTCTCGTCCACCTAACACACAGCAAAGTTCGAGCATAAAACTAAAATCACTGCAGATAGATCAAAGGATGAAGAAGGAAAGATTCGACAGTGGAATGCGAAAACAATAATCGATAATCGCTAACTACAGCTACAGTAATGGGGGATAATCTCTGTGGATTTGAGACCGGAACAATTATTGCAATCAGAAGATCGATTCATGGAATCCAATTAACACATCTGACGATAGCGAGTATAGGATCCGTATCTCTTACCTTAATTCTTGCCCGATGCGAGATGAATCGGAATCGAGACGACTTCCCCGTCCGTCGATGTTCCGGAAATAGACGTACGGCACACAAGCGCGAGCTCCGGTCCTTCGTCCCTAGTATTTTGTGCTTGTTTTTACATATTAATATCGTTAAATAGTTTCAATTGCTTTCACACTTCACCCCAATAATAAAACTGTTTATCTAGAACTCTAGAACTATAGTTAAAAAAAAACAAACTCTAGAACTATAAACAAATAAACAAAAGGGATTAATATCAAATAGGTTATTAATATGATTATTAAGCCATCAAAAGTTATAAAACGTCAAATAAGTCATTAAATTTTAAAAAATTAATATAATTAAATTTTTTTATCCCTATCCTCTATAAAGGTATAACGAGATAATAATTACTCTCTTTATTTCATTTTATTTTATGTAACGATGTTTGATTGGAGTTATTTTTAATCCAATTTATTCTAATATTGTGTTTAGTATTAGTATACACAATTTATATATTTATAAATTACACTAAAAATATTATTAAACACACAAAATCAATTTTAAAAATAAGTAAAAAAAACTACTAAATAAAGTATTTATCATGTACAAAGTATAGATCAATCGTTATGTTATGCAACCGCGTGCACACGGTTGCGAACGACGCTGTTTCACTATGGTGGAGTAACAGTGCTATTAGTAGCACCGTTTAACTCAACCAACCATTTTTTAAAAACTTCAATTGACGAGATTTCCACCATTTTCGGTGTGGATATCTAGTTCACTGATTCTGGATATATAGTTCAGTAATTCTGGATACATAGTTCACTAATTCTGGATATATAATTCATTAATTCTGGATATATAGCTCACTAATTCTGAATTTATAGTTCATTAATTTTGAATATATAATTCATCCATTATGAATTAGCGAACTGCCATAAGCCAAAATAAAGTACTCGTAATATGTGTGGATATATAGTTTACTAATTCTGAATATATAGTTTATTAATTCTGGATATATAGTTCATTAATTATGGATATATAACACAGCATAACGCCGTTAATGGTAATAAAAATGACTTTTTTTAAGTCGAACGCGTTATTTTTAATCAAAACAAAGCTGTTTTTGCAACTGTGTGCACCATGCGATTGCATTGCGAGTATAGATCCAATCATTATACCCTACACCACGGCGTGTGTAGCATTGTGCGCCGCGCGCCTCCCAAAACGACGTCGTTTTGGGAGGCGCGGTAGGAAGTTGCTGTGATTATGTGTATTTGTTCACACAATTATGTGTATTTGTTCATACAATTATGTACATTTTTTATACAATTATGTACATTCTTTTTATACAATTATGTACATCCGAATCAGAAAATTTGTGTGTATTATGTTAATAGTTGATGTGTATTACGTTAAAAGTTTATGTTTATTATGTATGTTAGATTATGTGTATTATCTTTTAAAAAGAGTATGTATATTTTGTTATATAATTATGTACATTCATGTATACAATTATGTGTATTATAGTATAACATTATGTACATTTTTGAACAGGGATTTTTTTTAAAGAAAAATTAACTATCATACACTGGAGCGGAAAATTTCAAAAAAATAAAATAAAATTAAAACGACGTCGTTTTGCACCTGAGTGCACAGTGCAATATGCGCCGTGGTATAGGATATAAATTGCCGATCCGGTCCTAAACCAAGGTCATTTGGGCCCCTGCACAGGGCCCATCAGCTATACGAGATATATATAATTTTTTTTTTTTAGAACGCAATACAAGATATATTAAAGAACTTGGGTCTATTGATTTTCTGATGAAGTCGAGGTCTCGAGGAGGTGGAGGAGCCGAGGAGACAATGGAGTCTCGCACCCCCGTCGCCCAGGAGTCCATGAGTCACAACGCCTCTTTTAACGGCTAATGTGGAGTCATTAAAACTTAAAAGCTCAAAAGCAAAGTAGCAAATAATCACAATTTAGTAAATAATCACAAGGTTTTGTCAGTTGTGACTGTATCAAGGTATTCTCACTATTCTGTAATCTGTATAAATCTATTTGCCATTCATTATCTCTGCAACTCTGCCATCTCTAGTTTCTTTGAATTCTTTCATTCTTTGCCGATGGTGGACGTGCGTGGATTGCAATTTTGCGAAGTGAAAAACTGAAAATGTGCAATTAAATTAATTGAATAATTGAGTAAATAGCCAATAATTATCTATAATTTATTTATTTAAATTCGTTGCAAACTGCAGAATTATATTCTAATTCCATTAATGGGACTAAGTTTTAGGAATCCCAATTATCTTTTAATTCTATTTAGATGTTAATCGTATTGTTGTTTAGCAGTTAGGAATTAAGAATTTTAATTTTATTTAAGATTCCTGTTTACAATGAAATTGTAATTTTATTAGGTTTATTATATGAAGATTGATTTTATTTTATTTTATTTTGTAAGTTTTGTAATATATTTTTTGTTTATTTATTTATGAAGGTATTGAGGGCACATGCTTATTGTTTAGGCATAATAAGGATTTTTGTTAAGTACAATTGTGCAAATGCTTTATAGGAGCTTTTGTTCTTTTATTTGTTTAGATCATTTTTATAATAATTTTTTATACAATGTTTGCCTAAAAATATTTATTTGGAAGTGAGGAAAGAAAAGAAAAACAAATTGAGCATTTAGTAGTTTTCCATAGGATTGTAGGAAGCCATTGATGATTTTGCCTCTAGGAAAGAACATAAAAGCTTCTTTTTTTTATGATTAATTTTGTTTCTGTAAATTGTTGAACATTTTAAAAGTGTATTTCAATTTAGTTGACATTAGTTTTTTGTACTCATATATTGAATTTAAAATTTAATTATAAAAAAATTTATGTTAATTTCTCTGCCCCTGCTTCAGTAGATTATGTATTTATCAATAATAAGAATATTACAAGAACTATTGTTTTCATTGCAGGGAACACATTCCAGCTAGACTGCTCAACAAGATATTAGCGAGAAGTGATTGAACTAGTATGGATGCCATTGCATGGACAGTGTTCCCCGACGAGAGGGGGCCTTTGTTCAAGATACAATCTAATCTAGGGACTTTTACTACGTATCGCGAAACGTTCTTTGATGTCTTAGACTTTGGATACACTAAATCTCGATGGTTCAGTATTAAACAAAAGATGACCTGGTGTGGGCTGACAGAGGCCAAGTATTTGGGGACAGCGAGCAACTACGAAGGCATATGTGACCAATTTTATGTGGGTCCTCAACAGCTGGATATAGAAGCTGTTCAACAAGCCCTAGGGCAACTTGATATTATGAAGCTTTATATGATGAACGGATGGGGTGATAACCATGTCGCACTCATACTAAACTGTATGAGGTTCGCCACTTACTAGATGTGTATAGCAATGCCCTAGGCGGACGGGCTCGGCACTTGTTTGAAGAATATTATGATGGGCGAATTTATATTCCGTCAAACAGCATCTGGGAAGACAAGCCGGGGTATGAAGGAAACTGGAGACCCCAGTGGCCAGGAGGTAATTTGGCGGAAAACTACCCCGAGTTCATCACTTTATCACGTAACGATGTTGATGTGAGCAGGACTGAATGCATTGATTTAAGACGATTGGATGACAGAGCTGTTGAAATTATGCTTATGATGACTGGTGCGTGGGAGCGCAGGTCGAGATATAAGCTTGATTTCAGCTTGCATAGGTTGGCTGATAAGATAGCTTTCCGCTCTAATGCAAACTACAGGATGAGTACGAGTTGGCAGCGGAAAGGAGATCAAGAACCCACTACTAAAATGCCTAACCTGCCGACAAGTGATAAAATCTGGAGAGCAATGATTGAATATGTCATGACGAACAGGCTTTACGCCCACTTTTCAGTAGCCGTGTACTTGTTCTGTACCACAGCATGTCAATACGTACCGAGTACTGCAGAGCAAAGCATCTGGAATGAAGTGACTACTAGGCTGACAGTGCCTACGTTCCATTCAATACGAGGGCGGTACACCTTTTTCAACGAGTCGAGAAGTTCTCCCATTAACGCTAGGGCCACGAATGAGTGGATATACATCGGCAAACAGTTTAGGAAACTGCAGTCTCTGAGCGTCTTAGTGTGTCAGGCAATGTGGTTCGGTCTAGGACTAAGGAATATGCGGCGAGGCATCGAATTTCACCAGCGTGAACTGGACTCTACGATGATGGCATTTATGAATCAGCGGTATGTAGCTTCACCGGCGATCGTTGAGGCTCTTCGTATTAAGGTACCACTTTCAGGGATGTCTGGAATCCGTGTATGGTTCGACGGGTGGGAAGAAAAGCCCTTTGAAGAACCCAGAATGTTGCAGGCGAACATCGAACAGAAGAATTATGATCTGGTTGAGGATGGTGACCAGACGAACATCCTTGATGACAAGGAACTGAAGAATTTTGATCTGATTGAGGATGGTGACCAAACCTATTTGCGGGTACATGAGTTTAATTTACCTGGAATACCGGTATATCTACTACCGCTCCCTGCCAATATAGTGCCAGGGTTAAAAATATTTTCCGGCGAGGGTAGTTTCAAACCTTCAGATGGAGAATTTGGTAGGATGGGATGGGAACTACCTTCTTATTACAAGGCCTATGAACTAGCTGTGATAGCCAAGTTCTGCGGATTCAATTCCAAGCTTAAAGACAGGTATAGGGGGCCTAAGAAATTTCATGCCCCCAAAGACTCAGGATGGGTACAACCCCATTCTTTATACGAGGAAGAGAGGGGTATGCCTACCTATTTCGGCGGAGTTAAGCAAGGGGACAGACTCTTTATTGCGATGCCCCAGATGGGGAATATATATTCTTGCAGGGAGCTGACATATAAATTGAGATTTTGTTCTTGGGGGACATATAGAGGTGATCTACCTAAGCCACAGAGGTACACTTTAGCACAGGCAGATTTTACCAATCCTGCTGAAAATGCTTTCATCGGCCAACACACAAGGATTCGGAACCAACCAGATTATACTAAACCTGATGAAAATGGTCTCATAAGGACTCCGAACCAAGCAGATGAGGCGGGGGAACCTCTGCTGCACATATCTCGTGCGGATGCAAAGTACGTGGTGGAAGCTCTGAACTCTGACAACGCTCGATTTGACCGCATTTGGCTTATCAGGAAAGGAATATTAGTTTGAACTATTATTAACAATGGACTCATTGAAATTATAAGATTCGTCACAACTCTCAATACTACTTAGATTAGTTTTGCTGATATATATATATATATATATATATATATATATATATATATATATATATATATATATATAACAATCTTAATAATAACATTATATGACACTAATGAATCAAATAAACCATAATCTAGTCAAGCATCACCAATGTTAAGGAAACTAATTTTTCTTTTACATTCATGAAGAAATTTTACGCCAATTAACAAGGAGTCATGCTCAAGTATCGTGAAATTTTAGGCATAATTTTCGTTTTCTTATAAACCTTGTTGTGATATAATAATCGTGAAATCTACAATATCTAAATCAGTCTACGGTATTCATAATTGTCTAGTTTAAATTTAAAAGGTCAATATTATTACTCTATTTATTTGCACAATTAACAACAACCCAAACAACATAAGAGCATCCACATATGTGGATACTGCAATGGAGTTATTGACAAAGATGTGGGTGCTCTCGTAACAAGCCTTGTGTGGCTGTCACAAGTGCACCAAGCAGGCACGATAGGCGGGCTAATAGTTTTAACTTCTCTTTTATATTCTATTTGCTCTAAGATGCATAAAAGCAGTAAGAGAGAAAAAAAAAATTCAACAAAAAAAAATAATAATAATAAAATTCAAGAAACGTAATTAAGGAAATTAAGCCTTCTGTCATTTATTTAGTGAAGGAAAAAGGCCAGGTTTACATCCATTAACCGGAGTGATGCTCCGATCCATTAACTAACTGGAGTAATGCTCCATTAACTAACCGGAGTAATGCTCCATAGTACACCCCTCCCCTCCACCTACACTACAGTACATATATACCCTTTAGAAGCCGCTGTAAGGTGGTGGCATAGACATTCCCTTAACCAAACCACAAAGCTGCTGCTTATCTGGAAGATTGTGCTCATCCCTTAATGAACGCTCCGGTGAAAGAACGCTGAAGTAGAGTTGTTGTCCCAAGTAAGCCCTCTCCCACATATCTGACCTCAGGTTCCACATCCCGGCGTTATCCAGAGTGGTCATGACGGCAGCCCAGGAGTTGGGGTACACTTGGATGCTGTGTCGGCTCACCGCGTCCACCAAGTTATAGTTCTTCCTTTTCTCCGGGCTCCATCTCCCCGCCTCAATCGCCACCGCGAAGAACGAGTGGCCGTCGAGGTGGTAGGTCTGGATGGTCTTCTCGTGGTTCTCGAACACAATCTCGACGAAGTTGCGGAATGTAGCGTTGACGACATTGGGGGCGAGAGTCACCTTCTCCCCGTTTTCCGGTGGGGTGTCGCCCATGATGTCGTACTTGAAAACCTTCTCGGAAATTCCGAAGTACTCAGCGAGCTTCAGTGGAGTGTCGGTGTTAATATGGGAAACGCCATTGAGCGCGTATCTAAGCTTTCCGTCCACATAGCTTTTGGAATTGACGAGCTTGATGGTGCGGGTGATGTTGATCTGACCGTAGTGGTAAGAGCCTTGAGGGTTGGGGCGGGCAGCGCTAGCCGTGAGGTTCCACCGGAAAGAACGGAATTGGTTAATGGACCAAGCGATTCCCTCCGTGTTTTCCGGTGGGGATGGCGGGAGTTCCGGGGATGCGGTTATACCGTTGCCATTAGCGTAGCTAATAATGGCCACGGTGGAAAACTCTTGCTTAAAGAATCTACTGGAGACAACCAAGTAGTAGTCTTTAGGCTCTTTATCGGCCGTTACAAGAACTGAAAGGCACTGGCCGACATGGAGGTCGAGGGAGTCATACACATTTTGTATGGTGTGTGAGCCCTCCATCTCCACCAACGTCATGGTGTGTCCTTTGAACCTGAAATTCACCGACGTCCTCATACCCACATTGCAGACCCTATACCTATAAGTTTTGCCGGCTTCCATGGTGAAAAGTGGGTCGATCTTGTCTCCCACCTTGCCGTGTTTCCCATTGATCACAACCCCATCAGGTCTAGCAATGGTGTGGCCGCTATCAAGAATCTTCTTCAGTGTTTTGTGGCCTTTATTGTACCAATCACTGATAAAAACATTGAATTCATCCGCGGGGGAATCAAACGGGACCGGGATGAGGTCACGACTGTGGACATTGATAGGGCCATAGCCGCCGGCCGCGCGTTGCAAGCCGGTGGTGGGGAAGTAGAAATAGGTGCCAATCTGGTCCTTGACTTGCATCTTGTAGGTGAAGTTGGTGCCGGGCATGATAGGGCACATGGTCCCAATAGTCCCATCAACCCATGAATTCTTCCTCTGTTGAATGCCGCTCCACGTCAAGAGCAGAGGCTCATCCAGCTCGTTGAAAACGTTAACAATAATGTTGTTGTTGGATGTGCAATTGATCATAGGACCTGGGAACTGGCCATTAATGAGGATGCCCTGTTGGGGGAAGCCCATGGGAGAAATGGTGCCATAGGTTACCTTCCACGTGAAGAACAAGTAGGGGTCCTCCGCTATTACGGCGGAGAGACACAGCAAGAGCACCACCGCTGAGGTTGCGCAAGCTCGCCCCATGGCTCCCCCCGGAACCTTCCCTTTATTTATTCAAGAAGAAGCGCAGATAGAGATGGGGCGTTTTATTCGTCTTCTTCTTGTTGCTAGAGCTTGCGTTTATTGCCTTGGCTATACGCCCCTTTTATACCATGCAATTTATAACCTCCAACACCATATTTGTGGATCTGACATTCCTTAATTCTCGTTCTAACGCTGTTTGTTTTTACTATTATTACCGTGTGGTTTAGCTGGCTTCAATCATATTCTCTCATCTCTCTCTGCAATGCTCGTATATGTAACAAATATAATTTCCTATTTGGATTGTTTGATGTTCACCTTAGCATCATTGGATTATTAAAATTATAATCAAGCATTAGCATGAATTAAAGAACTTTACAAAATTAGTAAACAAGTTTTATGTATATTATTAAAACAACGAATATTCAGACAATGCAACCAAGTTGGTTATGTGGTTGATTTTGTAATCACAATATTACAAGCTCAACTTCCCATATGAACATATATTGGTTTGAGCTCGTCAATTTATGAGCAACTTATATTCGTTTATCTCATTACCGTCGACTAGGATCATAATGTTATAGTGCTTTCTTATCCATATTAATATCATGCGACTTAGTTATCTTCGATCATATATTTTTTTTTCGATCTTTTAATTTCTCTCTATTGGTCATACATTGTTATTAAAACAACTAATACCATAGCCCCACATGGCTAGCCCACTTAGTCGGATTAATCACCTTAAGGTATTGTTCCAACGCTGGTGTTTCCTCTAAGCTCTATATGTTTAGTATTAGTCGAGGGCAAACTAACAAGACTCTGCGTATCGATTTGTGCATTTAGTTATATACGATACGATAAAGGAATAAAGTGTTTTAAAAAAATATAATGTTGCCAGTTTAGTGCTTAGTTTAATTTAGCTTGAACACGCAGAAAATCAAGCAATTTACCCTATTGCCCTTCAATTAAGAGACACAACATAATGAATAGACCAATTTGCCCTTTAAACTAACGGCCAACAAACGCTTATTGGATGGAATGACCTTTGGTGGAACTGTGTTTAAAAAGTTAAGTGTCTTTTTCGTCCAAATTAAAAATCGAATATCAATTTGAAAAATCGCAGTAGCCGGAGGACCATTGCTAGAATTAACTCTTGAATGGATAATCAAACTCCATGGTTGTGTTTTAAAAAGTTGCTAACCAAACACTAAGGGTGTGTTTGGTTGGTGGGTTTTGCACATAGGAATGGGTATGAAAGTGATTGTTGTTGTTTGGTTGATAGGTTTTTAGAACACTATTATGGGTTTCGAATACCTCATCAATTGAAAAACTCATACCCAAATAAAATAAGGGTTTCATTCCCTTATTCATTCTCAAGCACTACTACTAGTAACCATTACCATTCCATCATACTACCAAACATGTTAAATACTTTTACCAAAACCCATTACCATTACCAAGTATTTGATACCTATTCCGATTCCGATTCCTATGTGCGAACCAAACACACCCTAACTATGATTTTGATTTTTCATTATTAGTGTGTAAACCCATGAACCAAACACACCCAAAATATATATGGTGGGTGTCATGAGATGAGTGATCGTGTGAATATATGAAGCATAATTCTTGTGCCAAAAATTCACAAATTTGATTATTATCAATACATACTCGATTGAAGTCGTTGCACACTGTATTTTTATTGTGATTTACTTTTATTTTGTGGTTTACAAACTATAACTATTTACACTATAATAAGGTTTGATTGTACTACTTAAATTTTTACACTATAATAAGGTTGAATTATACTACTTAAATGTCACAAGTTTAAATATGGGAAAATGACAATTTTAGCTCATTAATTATACCTAAATTGTATACTCAACCTATGAATTATTACTCTATACAGATTTTCTCATATAAATTTGTAATTATATATGTTGAATGTGACATTTTCAATCCATTACTTACAGATTATTTTAACATTACTAATTTATTTTTAATTTTCAAATTATTAAAGGACATATTGGTTATTTTGTAAAATGTTACCAAATATGGGTAATATATGCAATTTAGTTATTTTAATATGTTAAGTGATTGTGTGTAGATGTTTATACAAAATGTGAATGTGGTGAATTACTATATGAATCTAAACAATATTTTTGTGTATAGTATTTTGTTGGAGATGCATATCATTTTTTAAAACCATATCATAAAGCTGGTTTAAAATTTAGTTGAAGTTGGGTGAATGAGATAATTATCTTTATTGACCTTTAGATGAAGCAAATAATGGAAAAAACATATAATTATTTAGTTTCCACCAATTAGTAGCCAATACACACGGGAAGATTCAGTTTAGCATCTAGCATTTGCTATTAGTTAGTCACATGTTTTTTTTTTTTTTTTTTTTTTTTTAAAAATTTTTAAAAAAGAGACTAACAACATATCATTCTGAATTTAAGAAGCAAAATAATTGAAAGCATGTGTTATGTATAGTATTTAGATAACATTTATTTTTTGATGGTTAAACTATGTAACTCGGTTATCATTTTGCTATTTTGGTGCCTATTAAACATTTGCAATTTAGTTTGTATTTTGTGCAACTAACGCATGGATACTATTTTGGTGCCTATTAAATAAGTGCAACTTAGAGTACTATTTTGTGCAACTTATGATGTTATTTTGCAGTAAGGGCATGCTTGGTTTACTGGAAATGTTTTCCAATAAAAATATTTTTCATGAATTTAAGAAAATTTTTTTCCCCCTTTGTTTGGTTAATGGAAAACATTTTCCACGACCTGCTATTGGTATTTTGTTTTTTCATTTTATGGAAAACAAGTAAGACAGTTATGTCCTCACTAACTTTTATTAATTACCATTACCATTATTATCTGTATACTCATTATGCATTACATTTTCAAATTCAATCAATCAATAGAATCGATATTTATAGTAATTTATTTTTCACCAACCAAACAGTGTAACTATGTAAGTAATCTTCATGGAAATTTACTTTTAATCGAATTTTATTTTTATTTCTTCTCAAATATTTTTTCGCGAACCAAACGGACCGCAAAAACAACGTATATATGATGATTCGGAAAAAAAATTTGAGAATCTTTTATAAAATAACTAATGTGTTATTTAATAATTTAAAAATTTAAAATAAATTATTAATATTAACAAAATCTATAAATTAAAACTGCACTTACAACATAATTAAAAGAAAATATTTGTATAGAATAATAATTAATTGATTAATTCTAGAATTAAGTTTAAGTATAACTAAATGACTAAAACCCAATTTTACAATTACCCAAAAACTGAATTTACTCACACACCCTCCAACTGTGCGAATGTATATCAGTATATGCTGCGGCAAAATAAAGCTTGAAGCTCCCCTTCTAGCTCTTTTCATATATTGCGTTCCCTCCTTTCCCTCCCGGTCTTTAGCTATTTTCACTGAACTTCCCGGCGCCGACGTATTTCACGCCGCCGACGTAAAAAGGATACTCGGCGCGCTCTATTCCACAGCTGTCGGAATTGGTACGAAGAAAGCGGTTTGAGTTGCGGCGCCTCTCACGTTTTGTATTGGCAGTGTAAAATGGCGCCTCCAACCTCCGGCTCAAACGCCAATGCAATCATCAAATTGGAAGAAGAGATTGAAGGAGATCAAATCGGCTCCAGGGATTATCGCTTTTGCAGAATTGGAGAGCCTGTCCCCATTAAAGCCGACGGCATTTCGCCATTTGATCTTGAGGACGAGGTCCCTCCCTCGCAGCCTCTCGCCGTCTCCGAACGATTTCGCCTCATCTTTGTCGCCCACTCCGACGGTCAGCATTCTAGTCTCTGTATATCTAACTGCAAGTGGTTTTGCTAACTTTTTCATTGCGCTTGGGTTTAGGGTTTTGTGTAGCGAGGACCAATGAAGTTTTGGCGTCGGCCAAAGAGATTAAAGATGAGAAGAAGGGGCTCTCTGTCCAGGAGTCGTGTAGTGTGGATATTTCTATCGGATTGGTTTCGATATTGGCCTTGTCTGCTGATGAGTCCTTGCTAGCTGCTACTGTGGGTAGTGAAATCAACTTCTTCCCCGTTAGCACCCTGCTCCTCAAGGTAACTGTGATTTATTGTCGAATTTGTAATAGTATTTTTTGTTTTGTTTTGTTTTTTTTTTTAAAAAAAATTTTATGTACGGAGTAATAGCTTTCTTACTAGTATTTTCTGTCTCTCTAAAAAGTGTTCTCCTAATGTAATAGGAGCAAAAACCATCATTTTCATTTTCCCTCAACGAAAGTTTTATCAAGGACATGCAATGGGCTAAAAAGGAGGAAAAGATTTATCTCCTTCTTTCAAGTGAAGGGAAACTGTATTGTGGGCATGGTCAAAGTCAGGCGAATTATGTAATGGACAATGTTGATGCTGGTATGTTTATGTATCCCTATGTAAATTATTGACATCTTAAGTTATAGTGTAGTGCTTGGTGTGATGGAATGAAATCATAATTAATGGAGACAATGTATGAGAATAGGTGAAGAATGGAATGGGGCTCTAATTCTTCATTATGCGCTTGGTATAGGTTGGAATAAAATGAAAGTTATTTCTGAAAGTCAAAATGCCCTCTTAATGCATAATACTTTGAAAAGAATTAATGAGAACTAAACTAGAATTAATCTTATGATTCAATTAAAATTTAGAAGAGATACAGATATCCATGAACACACAAAAAAAGAAGAAGTAAAAGTGAAATTCTTATATAACTCCATAAACTAGTAGTACCTATAGAAAAATATATGTGAATGAAAGGTAAAAAAAATATTTTAAAAAATCATAAAAATTGAATTTCAAAGGAATAACTTAAAAGAATTTGGATTTAAATGACTGGTAACAATAGTAGGTAAAAGGTGAATTAAAGATTTATGATTGTAAGTAATAAGAATGATGATGGGTAAAATAGACATTGTGAATAGTGGGCATAAGGAATGAGCATTCAGTTCATTTTTGGACCGAATGAAATTGTGAAGAAAATTTGGATTGCGAATGTCTCTCTGATTCCATTCTTTTGTACCAAGCAACAAAATGGATTTGAAATCCAGAATCATAACTACATTCCATACTCATTCTTGCATACCAAGCACCAGTTAATGTTCGGTTTCATAGGCAGACTGCTGTATGGATTTTATAATGTTGAAAAGTGATTGCAAATTTATCTGGAATATCATGAAGACAAGAGAGCTTTTTACTTTTATTTTCTTTTACTTTTGCCTTTTGGTTGTGTGTGTCTCTGTGGACTTGCACATAATGCGATGATCTGTGCCCTGCTACCAGTACTCAGTAACTTTATTGCTTTTTGACAGTTGGATGGAGTGCCAATGGTGATTGTGTTGCTGTGGCAAGGAACAATGTCATTAGCATCCTGTCATCACGGTTTGAGGAAAAGTTAAGCTTGGAGCCATCATTCAAGTTAATGCTTAGCGATTCTGATGCTGAGTCTGTTATTAGAGGTATTCCAAATTTGATTAGCATTCATGGCTATGGTCTTTTAGTATTTTGATGATTTTAGCATTATGAGATTCCCATAGATCTCACATGTTCTTTTGCAACTTGGGATAGACATAATAGGGGCAACTTCTCTCTTTGATCAAGGTTGTGAGATTAATCCCAAGTTCCTTTGAGCCTCATGAATAGTCATACTTACGCGCATATATACATATATATACACATGTGTGCATAAGGTTGTGTCTGTATATATATATATAAGGTTGTATTAATTGATTTAATTCAGTAAGAAAGGCATTTATGGAGCAGATACATATTAGCTTTTTCATGTTGTGTTCCATGCCCAGCTTTACCAATTTGTATAATGCCTGTAAAGATTTCTGTCATTTTTTAATAGGTTTTCTAATTCACATTTTGAAAATTAATCTCTAAATGTAATGTGCTCTCATGCTATACTATGCTGTTTGAATTAGTGGATGCTGTCAGATGGGTTCGGCCTGATAGTATTGTGCTAGGATGCATTCAAGTTAATGATGATGGTGAGGAAACTTATGCTTTGCAAGTCATCACAGGCAAGAATGGTAAAATTGATGATGTGAGTAAAGAATTTCATCAGTTTGATTTAATTTGAAGAGAATGCCCTTTAAAATCAGTGTAACATACTAACACGTTCTTGCTTGCAACATGTGATGCTATTTTTTTTTGGAGATAAGTTGAGTTACTCTCAAATGAAACCATTTTATGTAAATTATGCTAATTATTTCATTACATACATAATTAGATTCATTTTATACTAATGTGTTATGGAAGCTTTAGTGCATTTGTGTCCAGAACTCTTATGAGGCCATAATGAAATAGCTAATGGTAGAAATACCCTTTAGGTATTTGTTGAATAATAAGGAATTGAAGAACTTAAGGTTTGAAGGTCCAGCCGGTAGCGAGCCACCACCCGCCTTAGTAGCAGAAGCTAATATGTATAAAGATGTGATCTGAGAATATAGTTATATTGCAAATATTATCTTGTTCTTGTAGTATGCATAAGAGTACATGCCTTTGTATTCATAGGAGATAAAAGACTCTTATGTTGACAACAGGAAATGCAATTTCTCAAACTTAGGTAGTATTGTGATGAGAGGCTGCATAACACAACAAACTCTTCTTTTCTATGGTGGTATTGTATTGATCAAGGCAGAATATAATGTTTTCCAGGCACAACAAAACACCTTCTCCAAACAACATGACCTATTATTGCAGCTTCAATATGCAGTCTCTGTTGCTGTTAAACATTAACTTCTTTCATAGAAGTTTTTAACGATATTGTAGCAAACTAGCAATAATGTTGTATTTTATTCTTAAAATGATTTTGACTGATGCTATCTATTCTTAGATGGTTTTGCTTGTATAAAATATCAAGCAATGTATTAATAATTGAATTGCAAATTTCCAATTTCAGGACTCCTCCAAGCCAGTTATTCAGTCCTTCACTAATGTGTTTTCAGATTTTCGTTCTGATGCTGTTCCTTTCGCTAGTGGACCTCATCTCTTCTTTAGCTATTTAGATAATCAGTATGTATTTATTTGTTTTAGTTTTTGAAGTTTAAGATCTCTTCTTGAGCTGTTTGGATGCATCAAGTTTACTATAGCCCATCTTAGAACTATGCTGAACTAATCTACCAGTTAGGTAGGGCTAGAAAATGCTTTAATTTTCACAATTCAGCTTCTACTAATTTGCCTTAATTTTTATTTTTCAATGACTAAATTACTTCCCAAGAGTCTGACATTATGTGTGCCTAAGATCTATACTTCAATGAAATCTTTTCTAGGAAATTGAGCAACAGTTTGGGATGGAACAAATGAAAGTAACATGACTTAGTTCAGACAAAGGGAATATTTCTATATTTCACAGAGTTGGAACCCTTTTCACCATTAAGAAATATGCAGCTGATTTTGCATTTATTTTCATCCTATATCACTGGTAGACATATGTCCAACTGATATTGTATTTCTTTTTACCCTATTGCTTTAGGACATGTTTAGTGATTTGCTATATATTTTCTTTGCTCTTGTACTGTTGTCCAAATGGTTTTGCTCATTGAGTCCTTGTTCGATTATGCAGTGGGCTTGCATTTGTTGCCAATAGAAAGAATCTGGAGCAGCATATTTTATTATTTGGTTGGTCAGTAGGTGAGGGGACAAATGAGGCTGCAATGATTGAAATTCTGAATGATAGTTGGTCTCCAAAAATTGAGGCTCAAGGTGATCATATTTTCTTTCAGAATGACTTACATTGTTGAAGTTTGTTTTCTGTCATATTTGGATTGGAATTGTTTATTTATTTATTAATTTTTATTTTCACTTAGTGCCTGGCTCTTCCTCCTTTGTTCTTTGCTAAACACTGTAGTCTTGAAAGACAGTAAAAGTGAATTTTTGGGGATTCCGTTTGATCATCAAAGTGAAATAAATGTTTTGACATGACTTTTTTGATAAGTAAAAGTTGTTAACAGGCTATTAATACTGGTATCCTTTACTAGTAGTTGAAGGGAGTGAATCATTGAAGAAGATTGGTTTTATATTGCAAGGGTGTACTTGTGCAATTTGTCCACGACTTGGGTCTCCATTAAATGCTACGGAGTAATTAGCTGTATAATGAATTAATGATATGACATTCCTCTCTCTCTTCACATGAGATCTAAGCTAACATAGTATAGATACACTTTTAGTCTGTCTCGGTTCTGATTCTGAAAGTACAACATAATCTTAAACAGCAATCATGGAGTATAAAACAAATTGTAAGTGTGAGATAGAAGTATGTGCATGGAACCTCAAGCAAACAAGTCTGTAATCTAAAAATGATTTATATATTTTTATCTTGATCGACTTCTGCATCTCAATGAGTTTTTTTTAATGAACAGAATGAGGTGTTCTGGGCTTGCATGGAATGTTGGATTCTCATAAAGAAATTTAATTCTGGTCAATTCACAATGTTAGATGTTAGATGGAGTATGTTTTGTTCCCGAATCCCTTTACTATCCGTAGCCTATCTAAAGGAATTTCTTTACAGTAAACTGAAGAGTTTAAATGCACTACTGATGCCATCTATTTAAGGTCTTCTCTCTCCCCCTTTCTCGGAAATAATATTGAAAACCTGATGAAATCTTACTTTTCAATCTGATATATTCGCAGTGCTTAATCTGAGTATGTAACCTACAAAAGTGAAAGAATGTAAAATGTCTAGGTTGGTTAAATAATGATTTTAACTAGATCGATTGGAATAATGTTTTTTTAGGGCTGGGGCCACTTTTTATGTTTTCTGAATCAAGTGTTTTGCCTCTTTGGGCTCTCCATTTGCTCCTTGAAACTTTTTTTCCTACAGTTGTCTAATATCAATGTTACTTTTGCTTTATTTTCTGGTGTTTCAGAATGTGGAGATGATATTTTGGTCTTGGGGCTTGCCATTGACAAGATTTCCCAACAGAAAGGACTCAAACTGTTGCTTGGTGAAGAAGAAAAAGAGGTTTCACCCTGCTGTGTTTTTCTATGTCTTGCTGGTGATGGAAGGCTTTCAGCTTTTCACTTTGCTAGGTACTCCGCCATTCTTGTACTTGTAATTTCATTATATTTTCATTTGCCTTGGTGGCATTGCTACTTTTGCTAGCCTCCATTGTGATACAAAGCATATTTTTCTCAAGAATTTGGAACAATTACTCTGTAGTGCTGCAGGTGCCTCTGCTACATCACCAATCTTTACCTGTTCTGATGAAAAAGAGCATACTTCTACAGTGGTGCTATCTGATCATGTTGCTTCTGAAGTTCAGAAAAAAGATGTAGAAGGCACGGGGATGAAATCTAAAGAACTAAATATAAGCGAATCAGATATAAAAGCTGCAGGAGTTGCTCAACAGGGTACCCAGCCATCTGTGCTTTCCCAAGAGGATATTAGGACCAGCAATCAGGGACCCAAACTACTTCTGAACTTAGGGAGTGAGTATCAGCATAAACTACCTGTTATGAAGCCAAGCCAAGATAGGGATGGATTGCAATCACCTATGTTTGGGAAACAAGATGAAAATTTGAAACATTCATCAGTGAATGCATCTCAGCCTGCAAACCCAGAAACTCTAGGTAACAGTTTAAGGATGAAAGCAGTTCATTCAGCAGTTGAAGCCAAGACTAGTATAGGTTCTGCTTCAGGGACCCCGCCATCTGTGCTTTCCCAAGATGCTATTAGGACCAGCAATCAGGGGCCCAAACCACTTCTGAACTTAGGGAGCGAGGATCAGCATAAACTCCCTGTTATGAAGCTAAGCCAAGATAGGGTTGGATTGCAATCACCTATGTTTGGGATACAAGATGAAAATTTGAAACATTCATCAGTGAATGCATCTCAACCTGCAAATCCAGAAACTCTAGGCAACAGTTTAAGGATGAAAGCAGTTCATACAACAGTTGAAGCCAAGACTAGTATTGGTTCTGATTCAGTGAAAACCTCAAACAATTACAGCCAATCATTTGGAAAAAGTATGCAAACAGAACATCCTATGGGGGTGCAAGGGAGGACACAATCAACTGGTTTTTCTAATGCCGCATCTTTTGCTGGCACCCTAAAAGGTGATGAAAGATCTCCTTTTTCCTTTGGTAACATTCAACAAAAAGTTGCAGGTAATTCTGATAGAACTACGCTCTCTTTATCTGGAGGTCATCCCCAAAGTTCTCCGTGGACTCAGGCCCACTCAACCTCAGTTGATTCTTCTAAGCAAAAAGTCATGCCTTGGGCTGAGAGCATTAAGTCATCATCTTCGTTGCAGCAAAACATTTCATTGCAAAAGCCTTCAAAGCTTCAACCTGCAAGAGATACTTCTGAAAGAATACCGTCCAAGCAGTTTCGCAGTGTAAGTTATTTATGATCCATTAAAATAAATTGCTTGGGTACTTTGTTATCCCATGTTAGCATATATCATTTGACCCCTAACTTTTACTGTTGACATTTTTGTACGCCTTTTGCTGTGTGAGAGTTGCAAGAAGTACCCTTTAAACTATGGCAGGAAAGCTAAGCACCGTTACTTTGTTCTGATTCTATTGATCTCATTGTTGATTATTGTTGGGAATAGCATTCGGGGATAATATTACCCTTTCAGATCAAGCTCTTGGATTTATGTCTTAACATGTATAAAAAAAATGTTTTACCTACATATCCTTTATAGTCATCTTATATGCTGGTAATTGAGATATTGTTCTCTTTGTGGTATTTCCTAAATTACTGCCTACTGAGCATCTCAGTGTATCAGATTTATCTTTGCTTTAATGTGCCTTCATCATGTTATGTTTCTTGCAGAGTTATTAGTTTCTACCTCTTTACATATGGTTGAGGATTGAGACATGTGCATAGTTATATTTACACCTTTCTTCAGGTTGAAGAAATGGCCAGAAAACTGGATGACCTTCTAGAAGGGATAGAAGGTGAAGGGGGTTTTATGAATGCATCCATTGCTAGCCAGAAGAATTCAGTTATAAATTTAGAAAAAGGCATACAGGCTCTTTCTGATAGGTGCAGGCTGTGGAGGGTAAGCTTTTATTTTATTAATTTAAAAAATATCTTTCTACTTTTACTCATAATAATTGTATAGATAGAACTTTACATAGAAATTCATATTTCATTACTTCAATATCCTCTATGCAACTTTGGAGTCTGTCTTTGACTATTTGTTTATAAGATCATCACATTGTTGAAAACATGTCTCATTTTTTCCAAGAGAGCAAGGAGGTGACCCGTACGTATTCTGGACTATGGTCCACAATGCTCATGGTGGCATGTGGAGGCCAAGGAAATATGCGGTTCACCATGCAAATAAAGGCCTATGTTTCAGTTATGGTTTTGAATCCCAATTCTTTTTCATCTTCAAATTGCAGGGAATAATGGATGAGCGGCAAGGAGAGATCCAGCTCCTCCTTGATAAGACAGTAAAAGGTACATACTGATGATTAAGCTATATTAACTTACTAGGACCAATTGAATTGTTACAAAATGAGCCCACGATGTTATTTATATTTATTCTACCTCCTCAATGTACGGTGGAGATTTACTTGATTGTATGACTATGATTATATCTCTAAAATCCACCCTAAAATTCTATATAATCATATGAGTTCTATAATGTTTTATAAGATTCTATAAATCTTTACACTTCAAAATCTTAAATTTTAATATGTAAACAATCCTATTTAAAATTAAAACTATTTAAATTTTATGAAGATTTCTTTTTAGTCTTTTTACATTTATTATCTTATCAAAAAGCTAATTTTACCAAACACTTTTAAGCATAATCAGCTAGCTTAACAACTCTTCATTTTTCAGCTTCTAAGTTTATAGCTTTTCAGTTTTTGACTACTTTTCAGTTAAGTTGTCAAACATAGTCATAGTCTATCACATTAATTCTAATAGATGAGTGGATGATCACAAATTGTCTTACAACTACCCGCATACACACATTAGGAAAATTAGAAAGATGAATTCTAATATGTAATTGGTGCTTGATTAAGCTATCTAATTTTACTAAACAAGGCATGTTACACATTTCAACATTTGTCCCAAGAAACTCTTTCTATACATGTGAGACCAGAATTTCAGCTATGTTCTGTCCTTATTTTCGAAAGAACACACTACAGAATGTTGCATCTCTCTACATAAAGTTTGTATCACACAGTCAAAATTAATTGTGCAAGATATGTGACCAAAACGTTACCAAGGGATGGACCAAAGAGACTTTAGATATGATTGAAAACTACCCTTATGAACAAAAGAAATAAACATTGGACATTATCTCATTCGCACAACACACATAAAAAATCTAATTTTACAAAATACTTTAGTTTCAATTAATTAACTTATTAACTTATTGCTCAATTATCAACTTTCAGCTAGATTTTAAGTTTAGTGTGCCAAACAAAGCCTTATTTAACTTTTATTTAATAATTTAGTATGCTTATAATAGCAGTGTTTTGAAAAATAAAAAATAAAAAGAGGAGTTTTTTTTTTTTTTTTTTCAACACACCAAGTCAAAATATTATTTTAAGTATCATTTTTATGTTTAGTGTTTTGGATTGAAAGTCGGTGTTCATTGTAATTTTTTATTTTTTTTTAGTAATTGGAAAAGGGTCAAATTAGCCCCTAAGTCGAGTGGATAGTACAATTGGTCCCCCAAGTCAAAAAAGCTTCATTCAAATCCCTTAAACTTGTAAAATTGTTCAATTAAGTCCAAACTGATCTATTTAGCTGGTTACTTCTCTAAAAATTTGACATGTGTCTTTTTAAATAATTTTTATTTTTTTAAATTTTTAAATTTATTTATTAGAAATTAAGAAAATCTAAAAAATTAAAGAAATTTAAAAATATATATTTCAGCACTAGTTGTCCTCGCCGGACAGCCGGTGCTGTCAAAGCGTGACGGATGACGCCCAAGGCCGTTTGGAACGAGGGTGGCGGCCACGGCCATGGCTGTCCGTCATGCTTCGACAGCCAGTGCTGTAATCTTTTATTACTAGTATTGTCCCGTGCGATGCACGGACTAAATATTAAAGATTTGTTTGTAATGTTAGAATAGGTAAAAAATGTTTTTAATAATGGTATTTGAAGTACAGAAGAAGAAAACATGAACCACAATTTAATTGTTTAAAATTACATTTTTATTAAGTATATGACAAAATAATTATGATATTGTACTTACAATATTTAATTTAATAATTGAAAATAGTATGATACAAAAAGTTACTATTATTAATCGCAGTTAGCAGTATACATATTTGATCTTGAGTATGTCTACTCCTAGTATGCTACCCATGCGATGCACGGAATGAATATTGGACAACATTATAATAATATTATTTATTAAAAAATACATAACCTAATATCAACATAGTTGCAATTCATATTCATATTCATATTCATATATATATTACAATAATAACAATAACACTAATAATAATAATAATAATAATAATAATAATAATAATAATAATAATAATAATAATAGTAATAAAAAAGAAAATTAATAATATTAATAACATAAATTAATAAGTTAATAAATAAATAAATAAATATATATATATATATATAAATATATATATATATATATATATATATATATATATATATATATATATATATATATATATATATACACCATATGGTCTTGTGAAAATTAAATGTTGTTAATACCAACATTTAACTATTAATATCAACATTTAATTTTCACAATATGGCTTTATTATAATTAAGATTACTCTTTACAGTTTTTCATTGCTCCTGTTGGATAGATTGCTTACTGGTAGAATGAATTCTAACGCTTAAATGATGATATGCATCTATAATCTAAAATTTTTTAGCATAGTCATGAAACTTTTGTATATTAATATCCATTTGATGTGCCTGAATTCAGACAAGATTATTTGTGTTTCTGTTTTTTGGCAAATAAATATTTGAATCTCTTTGAAATTAGTTTACGTCTGCATAAAATTTTCAGTTTTGGCAAAGAAAGTATACATGGAGGGCATTCTCAAGCAGGCCACTGATAGCCGATATTTGGATCTCTGGAGTCGCCAGAAATTAAGTTCTGAACTTGACTTGAAGCAGGAACATATAAGAGATATGAACAAGGTGATAAGGGTTTGAATTTTCAGGATGATAAATCCCTCCTTTTAAGATTTCATGATGTTCTTACATTCTTCATTTTTCAGGTCTTAACCAATCAACTCATTGAGTTGGAAAGGCACTTCAACATTCTTGAACTAAATACTTTTGGTGGAAGTGATGGGATGCAAATGAATCGTAGAGCTTCCCAAAGCAAGCATGGGCAAGGAAGGTAAGATGGTTAATGTCTCCTTAGTCTTCTGAAGATGCTTAACTTTATCTCAAGTTAGTAACACCCTTCTACTTTATGTCTTTATCAGGCAATGTAAAGAAAGCATTTTAGTTTTGACATTTTCTTTATTTGCTCAAGTAAATCTATGTTCCTTATGCGGAAAACTAAAATGGTGCTTGAAGACAAACAAAAATTAAATAAATGAATGAATATGTGGATAGTTTTGACATGAATATGTCATGTTATTTGCACTTCAGGAATGTCCAGTCCTTGCACAGCTTACGTGACACAGTGAATGCACAACTAGCAGTAGCAGAGCAGCTCTCTGGAAGCCTCTCAAAACTTATGAGTGATTTGAACATAGATTCTTCTACAGACAGGCGTAATGTTAGAAAGGAATTGTTTGAAACAATTGGACTGTCCTATGATGACACTGCTTACAGCACTCCAGCTAAGGAAATGGTTTTGAGTACCCCATTGAACAAGGAAAGATCTGTTTCTTTTGCTGCTAAAGAGCAGTCCTGGAGAAAGCAAACGGATGCAGCAAAGAGTTCTGAACCAGAAACAGCAAGGAGGCGTCGAGATTCTTTGGATCGGGTAATATCCTCTATATCCAATTATCCATAATCATTTTGAATAATGAAATATTGTTTTGATGGACTAATTCTAGGATATCTGTTAACCATCACTAATGCGCCTATGTATATACATAGTATACCAAATGCACCTCTTTCCAACTAGTTGATGAATAAGAAATACAATGAACAGATAGATGAGCACTTATAAAGAATGTTATTTTAATAATTATTTAATACTGTAATACGTATAAATATTTTTAAAATACAAAAATATATAATATATTTTTACTGTGCCAATCTTACTGCTCTTCATGCAGAGCTGGGCTAGTTTTGAGCCTTCCAAGACAACTGTAAAAAGAATTCTCCTGCGAGAAGATCACCAGAAGGTAAGTGCAAGTAGAGCATCTTTGTCAGCTGATAAACAGCAGCTCAATTCTCAGTCATATGATAGATCAGCCGCCGCTGGCTCAAATCTCTATGGTGCATCTTCAACCTCTTTTCAACAATTCAAAAGCACTGGTTAGCCTTGCCTCCATAAAAGAATCTTCTGTTATTTTTCTCCAACTCTATAGTAGCTTTTATTTATAACTTTACTGCAAATAATCCAGGATTTCCGGATATCTCAGAAAAACTATCTAGTAGAAGTCCCGCTTCTTCCCAATGGGCTGGTGGCCTTGGAAAACCCGCGGAGCAACTTTCATCAGCTAGTAATTTTTCAATTTCACCACTGGCATCTTCAACGTCTTTTCAACAATTCAAAAGCACTGGTTAGCCTTGCCTCCATAAAAGAATCTTCTCTGTTATTTTTCTCCAACTCTAATAGCTGTGATTAATAACTTTACTGGAAATAATCCAGGATTTCCAGACATCTCAGGAGAACTATCTAGTAGAGGTCCCACTTCTTCCCAATGGGCTGATGGCCGTGGAAAACCTGCAGAGCAACTTTCATCAGCGAGAAATTTTTCAATTTCACCGCTGGCTCAAACCAAGTCAACTGTTTCTGGTCAAAGCATTTCTAGGGAAAGTGGCAAATTAACTAATGAAAATTCAACCAGCAACACTCTTACTGGGAATTTGGCACTAGGTCAATCAAAATTCATTCAGCAATCTGAAACCAAACCACATCTGATGACAAACTCTACTTTGCGATCAGAGTCTCCAATACCACTGAAGGTTTCCCTGGACAGTCAGAACCCTGATGGTAGACAGCTAGTTGATACCAATTTAACAGTCAGAGATCAGAAGAATGTACCGATAGCAGGAGGATTTATGCCAACTGAATTAAAGACTAGTTCTGGCTTTTCCTTCTCTCCTGCAACTGTTACTGATCCAGCATTTAACCTCCCTGGGAATGTTATGGCCTCAGAAATTGTGCTAAATAGAAGTCAGGCTGGTGGAACCTCAATATCTACTTCTGTTCAATCTGTGAGTTCTTCGTTACCTGCAAAATGCGATGTACCGTCACTATCTTCTTCATCATTTAGTTCCCCATCAGTCTCAAAATTCAATTTACCATCAACGTCTACTACATTGTTTAGTTCCCCTTCACCTGCAAAAGTCAGTTTACCATCAATATCTTCCACATCTTCACCAGGAGCAAATACACCAACCTCATCAGGTGAACTAACACCAGATAAATTTTCATCCATTTTGAAAGCCAGTTCTGATTCCAATCAAATGATCTCACTATCTCAGTCGTCAGGTGCTTCTCAAACAAATTCTGCCTTTCACTTTCCGAATTCTCAGAAAGTGGGCTCATCACCCATTACTCCAGAGAGTAAAAAATCTGATCCTAAATCATTGTCTCTATTCCCTACTTCCAATATTGGTTCAAAAGATGATACAAATTCTGCAACAACACCATCATCAATAAATGGACATTCAGCAAACTTACAATCTGGAAGTCAGATGAGCTCAGCTAGCCTTTCAAGTCCTACCTTGGGTGTGGGATTGAATGCGAAACAGGAACAGTCATTTGATGCAGCTGTTTCTCCATTGGCAGCTGTATCAACTTCTCAAAATCCCAGTGGAGGAAATAATGAGAATACTGATGCATTCATTGACGAGGATGAGATGGAAGAGGTAGCTCCTGAGACCAATCAGGCAACTGAGCAGACATTAGGCAACCTAGCTGGGTTTGGAATTGGAGGTTCCACTACTGTAGCTGCTGCAAAGCCTAATATATTTGGTACCTCATTGTCTAATAAAACCCCAACTCCAACAAGCTCTACCTTCACAATGACAGCTCCTAGTGGTGAGCTATTTAGACCAGCATCTTTTAGTTTCCCATCACTACAGCCACCACAGCCTCCAAGCCTTGGTAGCTTTTCTGGTGGCTTTACTACCAGTAATGTAAGTCAAGCTCCTACTGGAGGTGGGTTTGGTCAACCATCCCAAATTGGATCAGGACAGCATGCTTTGGGATCTGTCCTTGGTGCTTTTGGACAGTCAAGACAGTTCGGTGCTGGACTAGCTGCAAGTGGTTCTGCATCTGCGAGTGGTTTTGGTACCAATTTTATAAGCAACAATTCTGGTGGCAGTTTTGGAGGTGGGTTTAGTGGGGTCTCGGCTGTGGGTGGTGGATTTTCTAATTTAGCTTCTGCTGGCGGTGGATTCGCTGGTGCCGCTGGGGCTGGTGGGTTTGCTGCTGCAGCAACAGGGGCTGGTGGATTCTCTGCTGCTGCAACCCCAACTGCAAGTGCTTTTGGTGCTGCTGCCGGTATGTTGTAATTTCTCAGCTGTGTTAGTCTTGTTTTGTTGGGGATGATTATTTCAGTGGGTCTGAAAATTGGCATTCTCCTCCCTGAAAACTGAATTTCCTACTCAAAGTGCATAAGCCAAATTATATCATTGTGCACCTTAGGGGTCCCCACCTTGCAAGGTGGACCTTGATAAAGCTTCATTTTTTATATACTACAGGTTCATTTTTAGTATATTGCAAGTAAAACTGAACTTGTAATATACTAAAACTAAACATGTAGTATATTAAAAATGAACTTCTATAGGGGGACCATGTTGCTACATGAACCCTGGTCCATGGTATAAGCATTGTGGAGAGAATATATGGGCCTAGAAGAGAGAGTTAATATTTAATTTGATAAAACTATTTTTTACATGATTTGATGGGGTGTGTGTGTTGCTATGATGATGCCTAATTTCCATCCACACGATTACTTCCCTGCTTAACTTATTTCTGATTTTGCTATGACAAATGATATATAGGTGGTGGGTTTGGAGGTTTTAGCAGCCAACAAGGCGCTGCAGGCTTCTCTGCATTTGGTAACAGTTCAGCTGCTGCAAGACCCCCATCTCAACTCTTCACACAGATGAGAAAATAGTGAAGGAATTATCAAGCAATCAATACTTAAAACAGGGGTTGGGTGGCTGTGCTTTTGTTATTACTGGAAGGAATGTTTTTGGCAATCTGTTCTTCTGCTTAATTGTAGAAATTGCACTAGTGTACCAACCCATCCAAATCATCTAGCCTTCAATTGCACTTTGTATACACTTATCATTTTCCTTGAAGCTATAAGCTATTGTGACAGTATCATACTTAGTTTTTTTTTTTTTTTTGAAAGCTCATACTTTGGCAAAGTATAAACTAATTTTAAAGATGCCACCAATCTCCTCTGCAAATTATGGTTTAAATTGCAATGTGGATCACTAATATTATTCATTTTTAGTATATTAAAAATTCATTTTTAATGTATTATAGGTTCATATTTAGATGATACATTAAAAATAAATTTGCACTATTAATGAAACTTTAACAAATTAACTTGTAATACACTAAAAATAAATATTTTTGTGTAATCAACTTTACAATGTGATAAAAGATTTTAAAGAATATAATAAAAAAATTATTCTAAAATATCACCATTTCCAAGAACCAAATGAAAGCATAAAACATTCTAATACCTAACATTACCAAGGCTTATATGACAATCTGAACCAGATGCCTCTATTATGAACAAACATTTCAATGTTATTACATTTTTCAGATCAAAAGCCGTGGACACATTAATTAGTCCTGTTTTTATATTTTAGCAGGGCAGAAGAGGATCAAAAGAGATCGACTTCTGCACACTCTGCTACAGCTTTCTCATTACTAAACCAAAAGAGAAATATAGGTATGATTCAGCTCACCCAGAAAGCATTCCAGGTTAGAAGGCTATTATTGGGCTATTACAGTATCAAACAAGTTTTAAAGCATTTCTTCCTATTTTAGCTGTTCCAAATCGCAACCTGAATTTAACACATCCTTTTGTAGAAAAATGAATGGATATTTAATTGTTAAGGTAATCTTGTCACACGGGAACACCTAATTCTGAAATCTTAACAATTCTTTTATCCATTGCAGCCTTTTGTTGTCTGAGATGTGATGCCATAGAAGCAACCTGATTCATTTTCACTTTCAGTCAGAATATTAATTAAAATCAAGAATAGATTTTCAAACGTATCTGGAACTCACCTCTGCTCTTAATTTAAGAGGCTCTCTACCAGGAATTTCCCGCAGCAGATCCATCAAATCTACAAATAGAGCATTGTAGTCAGGTAACAGAACATGGTATTATCCATATATATATATATATATATATATATATATATATATATATATATATATATATATATATATATACACTCCCATGAGAAATAGGCTTCCCATGAGAACATACAGACTAATCTCATCTGTCCATTTAAGATGATCATGGGCTGAAAATTAAGAAAGAAAATGCGGTAGCATTTCTGTAATTACGGTTGTGCATTTGGAAATGCTTCGAGGAAAACTTTTTTCCAAATGAACAATCGTAATTACAAAAATGACACAATATCTTTTCCTTAATTTTCAGCCCTTGATCATCTTAGATGGGCGGATGATATTAGTCCGGACATTCTCATGGGAAGCTTAGTTCATTTGAACTTATTTCTCTCTCTCTCTCTCTCTCTCTCTCTCTATATATATATATATATATATATATATATATATATATATACACACACACACACACACACACACACACACACACGTTTGCCTAGTCATACTTATAAATTCAGTTTTATAGTTACTATATAATAGAAGCACATATAGGATAATCAAAGAAGAATATCCTGGCCCCAGCAATCTTTTCACCTCTCTAGTGATTATGTTTTACTTTTACCCATTTTTAAAAATTGAATCATCACCCCTCCCCACCCAGCAAAATTCCTTGGGGATAAGATTGAAGATTATTCACAAGAAAAGCATCAAGTAGTTGGACACTAGATTAGGAGAGTATTGAGGTTCAAGAGAACAAAAAAGTTCCATAAACTTCTTTACACCAAGGAGCAAAAGATTCAGTACTCAAATTTCGTATATAGTAGGTCTCCAGTCCTGCAAACTAAATTTCTACTCCTTTCTTCCTCGAGAAGGCCACACTATGCAAAAGGGAATCATGATAAAAAGTCTTACTATCACAAAAACTGAAATAAAAGTAGTCTCATTTCAATTTTCAACAGAGAATCATGTTCATAGGTAACTCAGATTAAACATGGCTGAAGGTTAGGTTTTTCGTTCTGCATCATGTGCATTTCTTTTCCCCCTAAAGTAATGTTTTTCAATACCTCCATATCATTTGTTGAAAATACTGAACTCACTGCTAGCAAAATGCTTTGCCGAAGGTTGCAGACAAACACATAAAATACTACGAAGTAGAACACAAGTGAAAATCATTCATGCAGGATGTGACTTAAAAGAAAATTTCACAAACCAGTAGCTTGAGCTTCGGCCTTATTGACAGCTTTCGCAAGACTTTGAATACGAGTTCCAGCATTCCTACAAATTACTTCTGATGGTCAAATGCACAATGAGGAAAAGTTGGCTACACATAAACTAAGATGCTTAAAAATGCACATACATGAGTTCAGAATGGCCACGTTTCATTTCCGTATGAGCTAGAGCTGCCCTTTCAAACAGTTTTCCGCTCTCCTTCTTCATTAAATCAACAGAAAGCCTCAACTCTTTCACATTCTTCTCCGCTTTATTAAATTGTGCCTGCATGAAAGAAAAAGGCAACATGTTTAAGAGAATGGTTTAGTGGAGAAAGAATTAGACAGTTTATGGAATGGCAGAAGAGAGGGCATACCTCCTCACTTCGAAAGCGGCCTAAAGTATTGCGAAACAGAAATCTTCTAGGTCCTACAGACGAGTTACTAGACCATTGAAAGAAGTGTATTTTTCGTATAAATGAAGAAATCGTATAGAGCATTACTTCAATGGATTATTAATATTATCAAACAATAAAGAACCTGGACAAATTATTGCAGAACAAATGCAGAAGAAATTGATAAACAAGAATTAGTTTCATAGACATTAAATGCATTTATCATATGGCATCCTCATAGTCAAAGCATGTTGGTGAACCAACATTCAATGCGTATCAATAATATAGAAAAAACCATGGGGCAAATCTAAAAACTAAATGCAAACACACATACCTCTCATGAATATGAGTCCAGTAGCAACAGCAATTCCACCAACTACAGCAGGATGTTCTCTCGCAATTTCAACTTCATCTATCAAGATAGATAAAATTATGAGCATAGTCAGTGTATTATATCACAACACTGAGGAAAAATAAACTGAAAAATGTAGAACACCAACTCATTAATCAACACAAATAATAAAAATAGATAATTTGTTGAAATTTGAAAATAATTGTATCATTGGCTCATTGCAAGAAAGCAGCGATAACAAGAATATGGATTCAAAACTTTATTTATGAGACTAAATGCACAGCATCCCCTCAATTAGTCACAAAACCAATCATGTCTAATGCCTCCGTGTATGCTAATAGAGTTAATGTAATCCACCAATGAATTTTAACTTTTTTCAAGAATGTGCACAGTGCACAATACGATCACATTTATTGGCCAAGAACTGCAACTAAATCATCAAAAAGAGAGATTTAAAAAAAAAAAAAAAAAAAAAAAGGTAAATTGCATTCATGAGAAGTTAAATGCAATGCCTTATGCCAGTGATTACTTATAATTAATATTTGTTTTGTAGTAAGAAATCACCTTTAACTTTCTGGAATAAAGCATCTTCATAAGCTTTATACTGTGAACTCAATTGAGGAAGAAAATCCTGAAAGAAATAACGTTGATAAAATGCCAGAAGTACACAAAGAAAATAAGTTTAACATAAACTATAATGTAATCTTAAAATTCAAACCATATGTTTCTCATTCCTCCGTTACAAAGACTGCTAGAGCTATAGCTACAAAACTCTTGTGGATGCAAATCCACCTACTCAGCTTCCTTTTTGTTTTTTTACAAGTAAAATTTCCACATTATCATTTTACTAAGAATGGAATTTCTCATTCTCATTATGCTACAGATTAAAAAATAAAAATAAAAAATAAAAAATCGCAGTACAGAATACTTTATAAATTCTTTTTTTAAAAAAATGGAAGAGCACAAAAGGTCAACAAGTACTTCAAGGAGGAGGGTAAAAGATCTTTCTGAATGTGCCACTCTAAAATCTGCAACAGTCCTGAGCATTCCTAGTTGATATAAACTTTTATCCTTCATTTCCTGTCTTTTTCTACTTTTTGAAAACTTTGTTGCCATCTAAAATGTATTAATGTAATTATCTCATTTTTATACATAAATATCTTATCCTTGGAAATATGTGTTAGACCTGCTCGGTGACACGGGGCTACTTGGATCAAAGCCGTGTGATACGCACATGGAACAGGGGGCGAAGTTGTTGGCAGGTGAGGGGGAGCCATTTGAAGATCCAGAAAGGTACAAGAGGTTAGTAGGAAAGTTGAATTACCTCACGATTACCCGTCCAGATATTGCGTTTCCAGTGAGTGTTGTTACTTGTTAGTCAATTCATGAGTGCACCTACACAAACTCATTGGGAAGCAGTTATTTGGATTGTGAAGTATCTGAAGGGTGCTCATGGAAAAGGGGTTCTTTACGCTAACCACGGGTATATGCGTGTTGAGGCGTTCTTTGATGCAGATTGGGTTGGGTCACCTAGTGACAGAAGATCTATAACAGGCTATTGTGTGTTTGTGGGAGGCAACTTGGTCTCGTGGAAGAGTAAAAAGCAGAATGTAGTGTCGTGCGGAGTCTGAATACAGGGCTATTGCCCATGTGGCTAGTGAAATAGTTTGGGTGCATAATATTCTAAAGAAGTGGGTATGGAAGTGAGGTTACCGATAGATTTGTGGTATAATAATTGTGCTGCCATACATATCGCGAATAATCCGGTGTTCCACGAGCGGACAAAGCATATTGAGGTTGACTGCCATTTTGTACGGGAGAAAGTGGAACAAGGACTAATATCTATTGTGCACGTTTGGAGCGGTGATCAACTAACTATATATATGAAAGGGCTTAGTAGGAGTCGGATACTATATACATGTAACAAGTTGGGCATGTTTGATATCTATGCTCCAACTTGAGGGGGACTGGGGGAATTTTAGAGAGTTGTTAGGAAATGTCCCTCAGCTACTCAGTTTGAAATTAAAATGAGTGGCTGAGTCGTGCTATTAGTGTGTATATATAGGCTCCTTGTACAGCTTCTTCATTATCAGCTTTACTTAAACACTTCAGTATATACATTCTACAGTACTCAAGTACAAATGAAGAATTTGAAAGGAAATCTAAAGTAGACATAGCTCCCAAGAAAAGAATAACAATGAGCCGTGATAACCAAGTAATCTTCTCAACTGTGAATATGCTTCCCATTATGATTGTTAAAAATGGCGGGTTTATGTAGCAGGAGGTTGGGAGCAGAGAAAAAGTCCCTACAACAACTTGATGCCAGTCAGTTGATGCTTCATCAGCTAACATTTTACAGTCATCTTTCATTTTCTTACAAAGATTACTAGTTTTGAAACCTAATTCACCTTCTTATAAAATGCTAAGACTATCTTTGTAGAACGGATTTTCTAACAAACAAAATAGAACTTCAGTTGATTCCGTGAAAATGCCATGATATCAATCGCATCAATTATTTATCCAATCAACAATTTGAATAACTATTACACTCACAAAGTATAATGCGCCATATCTATGTCGAATATCAACTATCCCTAGACAGATGCTCCACCTATATTAAATAGTTTTCACATAATAAAGCTAAAATTCAAAAAATAATGAGAAATGCTAGAGAGATGATCAAGAGGGACCTGAAGAGAGCGAAGGTGACCGGAGGAGGTGTTCTGGAATAAACGCGCGGAGCGAATGGCGGAATCGGTGGACTCTTGGACGGTGCGAGGCAGATCCTCTGAGATATAAGCGTGCCATGGCTTATCTCGTTGCTGTGGTGTCGCCGCCGGCGCCGGCGATGAGGTCTCGTCGATCTCAGTCGAAGGAACGTCGCTTGCCATCTCCTTCAATCTCTGTAGGTTCTACTTGGCGGAGGCGCAGATCATTCCGAATTACGAATGTTTTCTGCTTTCTTCTTTTTTTTGGGCAATACTGTAATTTTTTATATTTATAGATAATTATTCATATAATTAATGTCATATTTTAATTAATTAATTAATTAATTAATGCTTACTTTTAAAAAAATAATAATAATTAATGTTTACTTCTAAAGTCATATTTTTAAATATTTATAATTTTTTTTTAATAAAGATACTTTGCCACTTTCTAGTTAATTCACCTTTTATCACCATATTTTAATAATATTTTTGTATTTATTTATTTAATATTAAGTATCTAACTAAAAAGAATGTATTTAAAAAAAAAAAAAAACTAAAAAGAATTTCAATGAGATATTATAAACTCGTATAAATGGATTTTAAAATAACCTATTCAACATATTATATGCTAGGAAAACAAAAAACAAAACAAAACCAACAAAATAAAAATAAAAATAAAATAAAATATCAACAGACTTTTGTATGTCCACGGTCAACAACATAACCATGATTGTCTTAAATGAGTCCAAATATTATCGACTAAGAAAGTTGATACAACCATGGTTGTGTTGTTGCCCATTTTACAAATTTTTTTTTCGTAATTTTTGAAAAAAATGAAATATAGAATGCTAATACGTTTTTTCCTTTTAAAAGAAAGTATAATAAAAGTTTAGTTAGCATAAAATTAATGAAAATGGTCAAAAAGACCCTTGAACTTTACTTGAAAGTCCAATTAGACCATTGAACTTCAAAAAAAAAAAAAAAAAAAAAAAAAACAATCAAACACTCAAATTTATCATTTTAGTACATACAAACTCAATAACTAGTAATTTACCTGAAATAAACCGTCATCAAAATTTTAGCGACAATTCTAACAATAATTCCGGCGATAAAAATTTTTCGACGACTCTTTAAATTAGAAAAAAAAAAAAATCGACAATCGTGACTGGTTGTCTTCCTCACCGGAGAAGACGACCAATGGTCGCATTTTCCAGTGGAGAAGACGACTATATATGGTCGCCTTCTCCACCGGAGAAGACAATCTTCTAGTCGCCTTCTCCATGGAGGAGGAAACATGGTGCTGGCAATTTTATTTTTTTATTTTTTGTTTTTTTTTTTCAGTCTTGAATAGTGTCAACGATCAGAATTTACCGGTAACCTATTGGTTACAGATAAACCAAACTTAATTGACTCATTTTAACAAGTTTGAGTGTTTAATTACACTTTATTTAGTTCAATGACCTAATTGCACTTTAGAGTAAAGTTCAATGGTCTATTTGACCTTTTTTTATAAAATGAATGATAAGATATTAAAAGTTGATAGGGAATATATCTCGAGTATACCACCCTGTACTCCTAGTGCTTTTATAAAGCGCATTAACCCCTTCTTTAAGGAGGAGACCATTTTTGCCCTCGACTCTCTCTCTCTCTCTCTCTCCCCCTCCCTCCCTCTATATTACCTTCTCTATAAGATGAATCAATAAAAGCCAAATTCTCATGTTTTCTCATATCTTCATATATTTGCATACAACTTTTGTACATACTACTTTATACGTGAATACATATAGCAATTTACGCTATCAAAAGTTAGTTGGAAAAAATAGTTAAATAGGTCATCAAACTTTACCTAAAAAGTTAATTGGGCTCCTACACTTTTTAAAACTGTAATTGAATTCATCAACATCTTATTTTAGTGCAATAAAGCCTAAAAACAAATTAGTGACATGCTATTACATGTCACTAGGGTTCCGGTCAACATCCTAACAAATTTTGGCGACATTTCCAGCAACAAATCAACCGGCACTCGTTGTAGGTTGCGGTCAATTTTGAATTAACGGAGAATGCAACCCATGAGTTGCCTTATCCAGTATAATGCAACCTGTGGGTTGCCTTCTCCAGTAAAATGCAACCACGATGGTTGCCTTCTCACCGGAGAAGGCAACTGCCTCTACGGTCATTGGGTACTACGGGCACTTTGAGGCTTTGAGCTACAATTTACTTGATTACCATTAATTTGTTTAGTTGTAATTGCATCGTAAGTTTGTAAGTTATAGAATATGTTGCATGAGTTATTTAAATAACTCAATGTGATAGCTCAAGTGACAAATGAGCTCTCTTTGTGAGGGAAAATTTTTGAATAATTGGGATTCGATTTCCGATTCCTCTTGAGCCAACCTCGTGCCTCCTGGAGCAAACGACGATTAATCGGGTGAAAAATATTTGAATATCCTCAATACAAATAAGTAAATATATACATAATTGTATCTTATTTTATTTTTGTTATTATTAGTATTACTTATTACTTATTTTATTATCTAATTAGTATATAGTATATATAAGAGGTAATTGATAATTACAAAATTAGAATATTGAAAAAGTAATGTAAAAATGTAAAAAAGAAAATTATATTTTCTCAAAATCTCACATGACGAATTGACGATACGAGGTAATTACATAATTTAAACCAAGTAAGGTAAGAAACAGTTGTGCTAATTAACACTTTAAAATTTTACTCTTAGCATAGTGAAATGTTTTTTTAAAATGAATTCAATTTGCAAAAATAAGAAAGGAAAAAAAAAAAAAAAAACAAAATAAGTGCCACTCCAAAATTGGTGAATCAATCCATAAAGGGAAATCGAAAAACCTCTAGCAGATTCAAAAAAGGAAAACTGAAATTCATATAGAGAGAAGAAGAGAGAGAGAGAGAGAAAGGTGGCTGCCGGGCCGGCTTCCTATTCCGACGGCTGAGATTGTCGGCATATTCTTCTCTCCGGTGCTGCAGTGATGCTATGCTATTCTGGAAGCAAGATCAATAGAATCGGTAAAAACGCCCGTGATCGAGAGGCGAAATTGAGAAAAGAAAGAAATTTGTATCTTCGTTTCTGATGTCAATGTAGGCTCTATAGGATCGTTTGTTCATTTTTTTTTCTTCTGTATAAAATCGTTTTGCCCTTTTTTGCCGAATCGATACACTGGATACTGCGGGGGAGTGTGTATATGATGCGCTGTGCTGCATTGAGAACTTATATACGGACTTGGCTTCGTGACTATGTCAGGATTCAAGGCTTCGCTGTTATTCTCCTCTATGTCCAAGTGCGTATTCTCTGCTCTTTTGCTCGTAATTATGGAATTTCAGCTGCATTTGTGAATTTTGATTTGTTTAGTATGAATTAATTGAAATGATAATTCAAGATTGGTTGCGCTATGATTGGATCTCTCGGGGCATTGTACAACGGGGTCTTGCTCGCCAATCTCGTGATTGCGTTGTTTGCTTTGGTTGCCATAGAAAGTAGCAGTCAGACCCTCGGCAGAACCTATGCCGCGCTTCTCTTCTGTGCTATCTTGCTTGACATCTCATGGTTCATTCTCTTCGCCCACGAAATTTGGTATCCTTTACTCTTCTCCTTATTGAGTGATGCACTGATGCTTATGTGTTGTGGAGTATTTACTTGAATTCTTGTTATCCACTAATATGTAATACAGAGGTAGAAATAAATTAAACTGGAAAGGAGAGGGGCATAAGTCATGCCTATTTAGTACTGCTTAAATTTCCCAGCTGTTATTATGGGATTTCTTTTTGTTTCATATTGAATGTAAATAAAGGGTTATTATTCCAGGTTACTAGCTAAAAGTTAGTACTGATGAAGTTTTTTTTTTTTGTTTTTTTTGGAAATATTCCAATTAATGTAATTATGTAAATAAAAATATTTCATTTGCATTAATTCAAGGAAATCAGTCATCTATGACATAAAGATTGTCCTCCTTGGAACTTTCTGTATGTCTTCAAGCCAATGATGCTTAGGCCTTTCCTAGCAGATGGACATATTGGGGAACCTTTATGTGCATACAGTGTTAAATTCTTCCATATTTGGGATATAGGTTTTCTGGATACTTCTGTTTACATTATAAATTTTCCATATAATTGAAACGATTTCACATATATGTTAGCCAACGTTCATTCTTTAGGGAACTCATGTTCTTAAAAATCATATTGGGCCAAAAGTCACATAGAATAAGAATAAGAATCTGTACTAAATTTACCCCTTTTTTTGTGCTTGCAGGAATGTTTCATCTGAGACTTATGGAGGCTTTGTTATATTCTCAGTGAAACTTACTTTGGCCATGCAAATTATTGGATTTTGTGTGAGGTTATCATCTTCATTATTATGGATTCAGATGTACAGACTTGGTATTTCTTACTTAGACAATTCCATTCCTCAAGAAGCATATGCTGATTTGCGACATAGTTTTCTCAACCCTGCAACACCTTCTATAATTAGACAACCCTCTGGAGCTGATGATGTTTTGGGAGGCTCCATATATGACCCTCAATATTATTCATCTTTGTTTGGGGATGGTAAAGACGAGGCATATTTGTCTGAGGTACACAACTCTCATCCCCTTTGTGCTTCTTAGCTTATCTCTTTGATATCGTTCATGAAACAGTTTTTTTTTTTTTTTTTTAAATAAAATTTATTTTTGTTAATTTTGAGTTCAATTTCTAACAAGTAGTTTGGGTATTTCTTACATTCTTCTGTATGCATTTGTAGTAGTATGTTCTCTTATGTTTTATGGAATATGGAAAGTGGTAGATTCATGTACCATCACCGACTCTGACATGGTGAGTTGACATGAGTCATGAAAATTTTTACGTTTTAGGGGAAATAAGGGTGGAGTATCAGATGATATGAATTTCACATACTGTTAAGGCTTAAGATGCTAGAGGATTATGTCATGGTGTATGGACTAGAAAGAACTATGATAGTTTGTAAAAGATTAATTCTATGGAGAGGCAGTTCATAGGCATTGAATTGATGATCCACCTATGATACAGTGATGAGGTGGCTTGCACCTGGATGCTACAGCAAGCCCAACATTCCCTTTGCAACAAGAGTTCATTGATTTGTTTGAGCATGACACACTTAGTAGCTTGTAAAATTTTATTGCAATTGCAAGCCACATAAAAATATTCTGCTATTGACTATTGTACAAATGAACATTTCTGAAGCTACTTGGCAATGGAGTGATGAATTATGAAACAATAATGCTTAATAAGGTTTTACTGTGCAACTTCCCTGTGTGCCACTAATATAGAATATGGAATACCAAAAGATTAATTCATGGCATTTGTGGCCTATATTTTCATATCATTGTTATTTCTTTCTCTTCATAGACTATTCAAAATCATGAAATGGTGGTTGGATCAACTACTGCCGAAGAAATCACTCAAGTGAAGCCATCCATGAGTAGATCTGTCCAAAGTATGGATGTAAGTTGTTATATTGTTGTATTTTCTGGTTTACTCCTTATAATACTTTGGTTTTGTACAATTTCACTTCTCTTTGGAACCATTCAAGACTTAAGCATGAACTTTTTCTGCTGAAATAAAACCTGCCAAGTTCTCTAAGGAACCAATGAATTTGACTTTTCTCAATATAATCTGTCTATAATATACTTAAGAGTCTGCCCCTTGTTTCCTGTAGAGAGCTGCATCTTTAGATTTTTGCCATCAACATTTTAAGTGCAGTCTCTCTTTTATTATTAATTATATAGGCATTTGGATGTATAATAATTATAATTATAACAAGAATAGCAATAACAATAATAATTTGTGCAGTAAGTAATTGAAAATCTCTCCAACCCCTATATTCTGCTTCGTTTCTTGCTTTCACTTACATAACTGACCAACAGAAGTACAGAACATTGCTGCACAAGTTCTTTGATTTCTGATTCATCTGTTACTTGAATAGTTATAAGGAGAATCTTAAGTCCAGTTGCTTATATATATATATATATATATCCCTACAGTTCTCCAGTAAAAATTTTACACATGGATTTTTTTATAACTCATCCATCCACTTCAGTTTTTTTTTTTTTTAATAAATAAATTAATCATTTCACTGTCTCTCTCCACTTTTCCTCTATCCTAATCTTCAACCTCTCCAGCCCCCCCATCCACCCCCTCATCTTGACCTTCTCCTTCATCCCAATCACCACCGTATTCACCCCATTATCCTCTGGGAATTACTATCTGATTGGCTGATCTGCTTGGACACAGCCAGAGCCTATCAGAAATGTGTGTCCTGGGCCCTGGGCAATGGGAAGGCATATATCTGGTGTAGTTGTTATTAAAGTTGATAAGGATTAGAGGGAAGAGGAAAAGAGAGAGGGGATGCTGTCTTTGAGAAATGCTAAATGGCAATAGTTTTTACCGGCAATAAACAATGTCATGGTGGGCATGATGATCAGCAGAAATTTAGAAGTCCATGATTAGCTATTAGGTGTAATAAACTTGACTAAGAAAGGTTAAAAGCTTATGTGGAAGATGATGCGTGTGTCAAAATTTTACTGTAGATTTTTAGGGAAATATATACAAGTAATACAACCACCTGGAGTCCTAGACCTAAGTTTTCTTTTAATTGCAATAGTAATTCCCCTTCCTTATCTGTTTCCAAGCAGTAAGAACACTACTAAGAAGTTTTTTTTTTTTTTTTTTTTTTTTTTTTTTTTTTTTTTTTTTTTTTTTTTTTTCTTTCTACTGCATTTTAACGTTCACTATGAGAAGAACATAAGATCATTGGCTTTCACTATCCTTTACTTAACCAAACCTACTAAGTTCTTGTGGAGCCAATTCATAGTTAGATGCTTGATTTTCGCAACGAGTGAGATTACCATAAAGCAGATTCTTTGTTTCGGTTCTTAACTGTTTGTACGATGCACCCAATAATCACCATCTAATATTTTCCCTATAAACACATTTCATTTGCAGGGCCGGGATTTCACTAGGAATCTGCTACATGTCTGAACTGGGATTTTTTTGGCCATCCATCTGGTGAAGTTTGTTCTTTGATTATTCTTTTCCTATAGTGTGACGCTGCAGTTTTACTGGGGTTTTGTGATTGTTAGCGAGGTTTGTACAGTAACCCAACAATAGAATTTTCTTCCGGTATAAGATTTTCAAAGAATATAATCGCGCCACATTTATTATGTAAAGATGAATGTAGCAATGAAGAGGCATTCCATCTTAGCTAGGCGATTTCGATCTTTTATCAAAGGGACACTTTGGACATTTTTGGAGCTGAAAGTTTGTTAGGATTTTCTGGGAATACAAAATGAATAGCAATCTGAGATTCAATCTGTTTACATGCATCTTATGTGATACTAATTGATCTTTCACCTTGACTGATGAACCATTAAACTTGTGAGTTGTAGCCTCTCCTCTCGACTGTCTTTGACAGAACGAGAGGTACGATTTTATTCAAGTACACATAGAAGTTCTTGAAAAACATATAGAAAGTTGCGGACTATAATCCCGAGTAATTTTTTTTTTTATTATTTTTAATAACATTTGAGTAAAACACAAAATGCACATTGTTTTGGGGGTGGTTTCATGTGTTCAACTTCTCATATTTGTATGGAAAAAAGCTTATGATGTTTGGGACATGATGTTCAACTTTACATACTCATGAGAATAATTGTGTCACCTAATAGTGTACTGCACCTTTTGAATATGAAAAATGAATAAAGTGGATGTTGAGTACAGACAAGTCATAGTGCAGTGAATTATTTTTTGGACCATGATTCATATTGCAAGGTAAATCAGTGATAAATATTTGTTTTTAGTATACTAAATGTTTATTTTAATATACTGAAATTTCATTTTTTTTTTTTTTAATGTAATGGTCCTATTTGGTATCAATCAATTTTGACTTATTTGACCATTATTAGTTGTTTGATTTGATTAAACAAGTTGTTCAAAGTAATTTTTTTCGATCAACTTTTTGAGAAATTCATTTTGCATATAATCAGCTAACAGTTAATTTACTAAACATTTCTTTACAATTATCTAATGCTATTAACTAGTCAACCTCACTAGCTCAATCAGCTAACAACTATTTATCAAATACCCCTAATATATTAAAAATGAACATTAAATACACTAAAAAATGAACTTGTATGTCAGTTATTCATCTTACAGTATACACCATGGTCTACATTATAATGATTGATATAGTGCATTAAGCTTTCCTACACAATGTTGAGAGGAACACATCAATGAAAGTAAAAGAAGAGAGAAGAAAATTGTTCATCATTTAGAATGGGATGGGAACATGCTATGTAATGGCACCATTTGATTTAAACTGCTATCTACATCAAATATTTCGAATCAAATTTTATATCATTTGATATAACTTGAAAGCATCGATCTATCATTACTCTAGTGTCATAAATCGTCTTTAAGTCTAGTAGAATTTTTTTTTTTTAATTTTTGAAAATAAGTCTAGTAGAGTTAATACAATTAACTTATTTTTTAAAAAGATAATTTAGTTTCATTGCTTAATTTAATATTTTTTTTTTTAAAAAAAAATCAAATGGAGGGGATCCTAAGGGCAAATCATTACATTTCTTTTTCCAATCAAATTACAATTTCTTTTCTATTGATTCACTCCTTCCAACCAAACGCCTTGTGAATGTAAGAAAATTCTTCAACTCAAAATCTATAATAGTGCACTTAAGTGTGTACACTATTAGTTATCCGCATATGCATTATCTAATATTTTTAAATGCATTGTTGTAATTACAGAAATATCATTATTTTTTTTCTTTAAATTTTAGCCCCTAATCATATTAGATGTACGAATGAAATTAGTCTGCACATTTTCACGAGGCTATATGTACACGCACATTCAAGTATCGGCTAAGGTGATCACTACTACCCAAACCTGTTTCAATCTCAACTATCAATTATCTAAACTTGTCTTATTAGCGTTCAAGAGGTCACGTAGCTCACACAATTGAGTGTTGAGTATGCGAATTTTACTCTATATATTTATTTAAATTACTTTATTCAATTAATTATGTTTGGTATTTATCTTGCATATTTTTATCATATTTCATTTTTTTTTATCCCCACTCAACAATATAAGACAAATTTTTGTGTGGAGCATAGTCCACACAATGCATAGATTATGAATGAAAATTTAAAAAATACATCTTTAATATACTAAAGATAAATTATTTATATATTAAATATATTATTTGATAATATATAAAATAATATACTTTCAATACTTAAATAATACGGAGTTTAAATTTTAATATACAAATAATATATTAAAAATATAGAAAGTATTTTTTATTTATAGTCTATAGAATTGTGTGGACCATGATTTATTATTGGGTAATAAATCACAATATTTCTGTCTGTGTGCACACATTTTCATAGGCTGAAAGTCTGAAACGATTTAATTCAGAAATTTCTCGGCTTTTGCATGTTTCGTGTCTATGTGGTATTACATTAATGCACGTAATGTATTAATTAATATATCTTCTTCTTTCCAAGTTTTTATCTGTACATCTCGTTTATGGTATTTATTTATTTATTATTTAGTTTGCTTTTTCTTTTTCAATATTCACCCCCTTTATCTAATGTGCTTATTGCGTGATTAGATTAATGCTTAATATAAAAATTAAAATAAATAAATAATTGGTAAAACTTTTACATATTAATAATAATATAAAATAAAAATAATTATTTTTAATATAATACAAATGAGTATTTTCGTCAATTATCATAGTGTAATGATACACATCTGTTACCATTCGAAATATGTGATTATAAGATTGAACCACGGTAATAGGGACATTGATTTTTTAGGTTTCTAAAATTTAGAACAAATACTAATAAAAATATACATTTTAATTAAAGCAATCTAGATTTAAAAAAAAAAATTAAAATTGATGCTACAATACATAAAGTTTGATTTAACTAAAGAGAATATACTGTATTTTTAGAATAATTATAGTATGACATTATATTCATTTAGGATAAAGATTCAAAAAATAATAACATTCATTATATATATATATATATATATATATATATATATATATATATATATATATATATATATATTGAAAGAAACAAATCAAATTAAGTAAATATTATTATATTTTATTTTTTTACCCTAAAGAATAAAAGAGTTAAAAATAGAAAAATAAAAAATAAACAAATTGGCACAAGTTTCATTTTGTATATCCTAATTTAGTTGTTATAATAATAATAATAATATGAAAATAAAATGCTCATCGTCGTTGTTGTTATTAAATGTTAAACATTTTACAATGAATAAATAATGTGTTAGCACAGGCGTCTGTTTTGAGTCTTTGGGACTATGTTCCTCCGGGTTGTATCTCAGAGTTTGTTTGATTGGGTTTCAATGGAGTTTTTGTTTCCATAAAAAAAAAAAAAAAAGAAGTTAAAACTAATAAATAATTAAAGAAATATTCGTTTACTAAAGTTTGTATACAAATGAAAAAATCTTTTCAAAAAAAAAATAAAAAAATAAAAAGTGAAAGATAGTAACTTTAAAATGTCTGATCATTTTATAATAAATAATCAAAATATACAAATAATCACTTCACATTATTACACCAACATTTTATTTTATTTTTTTGGTTATATACCTGTGCTTGGTTTAAGTTATATAAGATAGCTAAGGATATATGTGCTTGGTAATATACGATTCTCATGTTTAGTTCAAGTTATGTAATTTTTCAGAGAATGTCACATAACTTCCATATATAATTTTTAGCTATTGGAATAGGGTATGAGATACCCTCCAATTTATTAAGTAATCTCATGTTCCCTAATCTTATACAAATTTTAGAAATTTGATATTTTAATCAATTTATCTTATTACTGGTGTCTTATTTACCTACCTTAGTTTTAAATCAAACATAGGAATATAATATTTTCAGTAATTTAACATTTTTAACAATTTAATATTTTCTAAAGTATTAATCTAACATTTCGTGAATCAAATGCTCCTTAATTTCATTGTATTTTTCTTTTCTGACAAAATTCTGTGGTTCAAATTCGTTTTTAAATGGAATATTTTGGTTAAAATGTCAAATCTGACCATATTACACGCATGCCAAATTGCCAAGTGGATAAGGAAATGAAATTTCTACGCAATGACATTATTAACCTATCCAGTTTTATCGAGATTCTTAAATTTGAAGTTTAAATTTATTATTGAAAATAACTCAAAATAAGTTCATATATTTAGTTTTGTTAACTACTTGCTTGTTATATTATATAGGCTCTGTTTGGCAAACCTAGCTGAAAAGCTATAAGCTAGGAGCTGAAAGGTGAAAATGAGCTGAAAGCTGAAAAGCTATAAGCTCGGAGCTGAAAACTAAAGAGCTGTTAAGCTAGCTATTATGATTGAAAGTGTTTGGTAAAATTAGCTTTTTGATAAGCTGATAAATGTAAAAAGACTAAAAATGACATATTCATAAAATTTAAATTAGTTTGTTTACATATTAAAATTTAACATTTTGTCTTTTTAAAAAAATTAACATTTTGAAATAAAACTATTAGCATAATCATGATCTAGTATCTCATAATGAAGTAGCAATATTGTTGCAAATAATAATAATAATAATAATAATAATAATAATAATAATAATAATAATAATAATAATAATAATAATAATAATAATAATAATAATATTTGTGGTGAAAGTTGCGGATAAATTAAAGGAGAAGAGAAAAAAGTTTTAATTGGGAAGGGTAAATAATGTAATTTCTTTAAAATAATAAGGATAAAGATGGAAAAAAAGTTAGGAAGCTAGGAGCTTATTTTGAAACGCTACCTAAAGTAGCGTTCCAAAATAAGCTCTTATTTTAAGCTAGGAGCTTATTTTGAGAACATTACCAAACAGAGCTTATAGCTTATTAATAGCTTAAAATAAGCTATAAGCTCCTAGCTTATCTCTGCCAAACAGAGCCATAGTGTTTAAATCCTACCAAGAATTCAAAAAAGAAAATATTAAAATTCACCCGAAAAAAAAAAAAAAAAACCTTTTGAAAGAGTCACTTTGTACCACTAGACTACATTGATAACACTTGTTATTCCTAAGTTATAAAAAATATTATTAAAAAAGAGTATAAAATAAGGTTTAAAGGGGTGATTTGAGAAAATATTTGAGTTTGGTTACTTCCAATTTGTGTGAGATCATACTCATCAACTTAATATCACCACCCATTCAAAAATCAAAACCGTGTATCTTCTTCTTCTTTTTTTTTTTTTTTTGTTCGAGTCATATTTAAGTCAAATACTATACCCAAATTCAAAAAATAATAAAATTAAAAATAGCAATATTGTAAGACTTCTAACTGCAAGTCGTGATTTTACCTTATAACTTAATATTTGGTTGATAATTTTTATCTTTTTCCGTTGCTTTATTTTAGAATATGGATAAAACAATTGGCTTCTTCAAAGGATACACGCGTTATTCTGTCCCCCCACCATCAGCATCCCATTATAGTATTCCCATAAGCTCTTAATTAAATTAGCCAAAAAAATATATTTTTGTAATAAGAATGGTAAAATAGTAATTCACCATATAATTACAATTTCACAAAGTGTAAAATTACAATTTCTAAGCAAGATCTTAGAAATTGCAATTCTCTCCAACCAAACCATTGAATTGCAATTCTATCGCCCGTTTGGTACACTGTAATTTGATTGTAAAGAAATTGAAATTCAATGAACATGGTGAATTACATTGTTTGGTTAAAGGAAATTACAATTCAATGGATATGAGAAAGAAAAAACAGATGAAATGACACTATTACCCTTGATTATTATTACCTAAGGATATCTTAGTCTTTATACCACAATATAATTTGAATTCTTATTTTATTCTTACCTTATTCTTTTCCCACCGAACACCTGTAAAGTTTGGTATGAATGAATTACAATTTCATCGTAATTTCATTCCTACCAAATTCTCCATAAATTAATAAATGTGAGAGATTGCGGACATTTATTGGTTGGTGTTATTGCGGACATTTATTGGTGAAGTCGTGTTAGTGAGAGGTACTAGTGTTGGATCCACTTGCTCTTTGATCCAATAGAGAGAGGAAGAAAGAATGATGTGGAAATGAACATACTAGCTTGTGATTTACATCATAAACATAAAAACTCAATACCGTCTTTATTAATGCTCAAACTCACACCCTCCTTTATGAGAATGTAATTTTGGTGCCATTAGACCACAAAGTCTTAGCTAGTATGAGAATAGTAAAATGTGTTTATTTAACATATTTTGAGCATTAACTTGCCGATAAATAAAGGTTAAAATACTATTCCTTCTTTCCCATTTTACATATCTAATTTACTGTTTAATGGTGAAATTATTATTATTTTTTTAATTTTCTTTTATATTTTAAAATTATTTTTAAATTTGAATTGACGTGTTTAATAATACTTTAATATAATTTTTAAATGTATAAATTTTATACACTAATAATAAACTTAGTATTATGAAAATTAAAATTAATTTCAATTAAGTTTCGTTAATTAAACCAAACACATCAAATAAAGCTAATGAAATATATTAAAATTTCAAAATTGTCCATAATTTTTCATTCAAATCTAGGGAAACATAAACAAAAAGGGTTTAAAACCATCATTTTATAAATATATCTCTTGTGCACAATTGCACACCAACATTTGACCATAAATTAAGTTACCATAATTTATATTATCTGATATACTATGTTAAAGATACCAAATTCTCATTTCCCAACCTTAAAAAAAAAAAAAAAAACTATAATATGCGTAATCTCCAACGCGTTTAAAGACGCGCTAATGTCTCTTTTGTGTACGTTTTTTTTTTTGTACTGAAATTTTTGTAATAGCGAGCGAACAATATGGATTGCATCACCTCTATAAATGAAAGAAATGAAGGAGCCAAAAATGGAAGAGAAATCCCATATTTCCTCAATTTCATTCGAGCTTTAATTTGAAGCTGGTATGTAAAATGCTCCAAACTCTCTCTCTCTCTCTCTCTCTCTCTCTCTCTCTATCTTCAATGCGTTTCTTCATTTTCATTTAATTATTTCTCCCTTTTCTGGTAAACAAATTAATAATGATAATAAATAATCTCTGCGGGCATGATTTTCTGGTATGAGAAAACGTCAAAACATCTCCTTGTTGTTTTCTTCTGCATTCTACAACCTTCCAGATCATTCCATTTTACTGAAATGGAAGATAGGGATTAGAGTTTGTTTATATATTAATATTTGATTAAATATCCCACCTACCTTCCTCGCAATAACGTGCATATACATACATATAAACCCCATTAGAAGCAGAATCCCAAGAGATTTTCCATTAATTCATTTGTTTTGTTTGCGCCTGCAAAAACTGCATATTGGTATAATCTGCGTTCCAGCTTTAGGGTAAGATGAATGGAATATAAAGTTTGATCTTCCTTTCCCCCCCCCCCCCCTGCATTTTTGATGTTTTTCTCCGGGTGAAAGATGCCATTTCCTTCCACCCAACAGCTTGATCTTTCTGAATTATGAGATTGTGTTTTTTCAGGCAGATAATATTGTTCCCGATAAAGGATGAATCAGTTTTGAGCATAAATATGATATAAAATATACATATATATACATATATAGCAACTTTTAGTTGAAATGAAAATATTTTAAATATTGAAAATTAAAGAATAAGTTTGTTGTTGGACTTTATATTAATGGTTATATATTATATATCATTGAAAGATATGTTTCATCTATGAAGACTGGTCTGTATATTTATGTTTATATATTATATATGCTAACAATGTTGAATTATATATAGGTTCATCAAACTGACCTTAATGTTCGAACCTGCAAACTTCTAAAGGATTGCACCGTACTTGAATACGATTGCACCACAAGGTTCTGTAGCGGTGCAATCATGTAGTAGTTGCGGTGCAATCCTTCAGAAGTTAACAGTTCGTAGGTTAAGATGGGTGGGTTATTACCTGATTATGATTATATATATATTCTTGGTTTTGTTTTCTGGGTATTTGATAAAAGTTTATTGTTCATGTGGGAATGTATGGGTGATTGAGAGGAATATAAAATATAAAATATATAGATTGAAGACTTTTAGTCAGGATGGAATAGTATTTATGGTTTTGGTTTGGGGGTATTTGTTAAAAATTGATGGTTGTTGATGTGGGAATGTGATGTTGTATTTGACAGAAGAGTGAGATTGAGTAGGGGAGATGGAGGACACTGAGGCAGCAAGGTATTGGTGTCATCAGTGTTCGAGGGTGGTGAACCCAGTGATGGAGGTGGAGGCTGTGAAATGCCCGGTTTGTCAGAATGGCTTTGTGGAGGAAATGGGATCTGCAGCAGAGACAACCACCAATGATAACACCAGCAGCAGCAACCCTTTTGACTATGGAGGCTCTGAGTTGGATGGTGCAATCTCGCTATGGGCGCCCATCCTGCTAGGAATGATGAACAATCCCCGTCGCAGCAGGCGCAGGTTCAGGCATCTGGAGTTCGAGGGAAATGGCGATGAGAACAGGAATGAGAGCAATGGCAGTGGGCGTGATGGTGAGGGCATGGGCATGGGCATGGGCGAGGGCGAGAGTGAACGTGATGTGGAATCTATGATTCGTAGGAGGAGGAATGCGGTGATTCTGCAGCTTCTGCAGGGGGTTCGGGCTGGAATGCTGGCTGAATTGCAGAGTTCTGGAGGGGGAGGAGGAGGAGGAGGAGGCGGGGAGGATGATAGGGGGGAGAGTAGAGATGGTGGGGGAGAGCGGGTGATATTCATAAATCCCTTTAGCCAAACCATCATTCTCCAAGGAGGTTATGACCCAAACAGTAATAACCCAGGGCCAGGGAGCCATCATCATGCAGCTCCTTCATTTGGGGATTATTTCATGGGATCTGGTTTTGACATGCTGCTGCAGCATTTGGCTGAGAATGATCCAAACCGGTATGGAACCCCGCCTGCACAGAAGGAGGTGGTGGAGGCGCTGCCCACCGTTAAAGTCGAGGATGAGTTGCAGTGCGCTGTCTGTTTGGAGGACTTCGAGATTGGTGCAGAAGCAACAGAGGTGCCCTGCAAGCATAGGTTCCACAGTGGCTGCATTTTGCCATGGCTGGAGATGCATAGTTCCTGCCCAGTCTGTAGGTTCCAGCTGCCTGCCGACGAGTCCAAGCGCGAGGCTAATGAGTCTAGGGATAGAAGAAACCAGATTGCCGCAGAGAGTAACAGAACTGATAGCGGTAGAGGTGAAGGCGGAGGCGGAGGCAGTGGTGATGCAAGAAATGAAAATGGTGGATGGTTTTCCGCCCCGCTTTTGTGGCCTTTCAATGTCTTGTTTTCATCCCAATCTAACAATGGTGGTGATTCACCCCAAGCGGCGCTGCCTTCATCTAACTCTGCAACGAATTCTGCTCCCCCGGGCTCTAACACGCTGGAGGATTAAATCTAGTATCACGGGTTTTCAAAAAAAAAAAAAAAATCTAGTATCACGGTTGCCATTGCCATTGCCCTTGACAAGAAGTCTTGCGCTATGAGGTGTGCCTGTAATTTGCACTTGCTTTTGTACATAGTATTGCGTTTTTGCCAAACTTGAATGTACTTTTTCCAGCCTGCAATTGTACAATGGGTTCTTTTGCCTTGTTGTTTCAAATAACTAGCAGGAAATCTTTTTGTCTGTATAGTTTCAAAGTTTTGGGATTCGTCTTGCATATGCTTTCAATACTGCATAGAAATCAGATAACTTTGGATAGTATTGCTAACAAGTTGAGTTCAAGAACAGGTAAACTCACTTCATAAATTTAAACAAGCAAAAGATTTAGCCAATATTCCAGCTTTTCTAGGCTGGAAATTTGTGCCAAGCTGGGAAGTGGAAAGGTTTAATACCAAAAAGGGAAAGAAAGGATAAGAAAAACACGAACTTATGGCATCAACTGAGTGATGCGTTCTTTTTCAACTAAAAGTTTAAACCGGTAGTGAGTTTGCTCAAGAAGCAAAAAACACTTCCCTTGTAGTTACTTCACCGTGACAATCTTGACTACAGAAGCAGCTCCAATGCGATGAAGGGCAACAGCAGAGTCTCCTTCCTTGCAGAACCCCTTGGTTTTGGCATGTTGAAGGGCGAAGTCTAGTGCTTCTTCTGTTGACTCTTCATGGGAAGCCCTTGCAGATCCTGCACACAGGATAGGGACTAATCCCCTGTATATAAGGCTGTGCCTGGCTGGAGTCTCGTCGCTGCAAGACCAGTCGAAGGAGTCGGTCTTGATCTCAGGGACGACGACAGAGAGTATAGGAAGCCCGGGCCTGTATTTTGCCACCAGTTTCGCAGTGCTCCCTCCTCTGGTTAGAACCAGGATGAGGGCTGCTTTTGCAGAGTTTGCAGTTCTGACTGCAGAAGATGCAAGGCTCTCTAAAGGGCTCATGGGAACAGGTGCGTTAGTCATTATCCTCTTGAACACATCTCCATAATCAATTGTGCTTTCTGCTTCTTTGCAAATCTTGGCCATTGTGCTCACTGCAAGCTCTGGGTAAGCCCCGGCAGCTGTCTCACCGCTAAGCATTACACAGTCAGTCCCATCAAGAACGGCATTGGCAACGTCTGTTGCCTCAGCTCGAGTTGGCCTCGGAGACTTTATCATGGATTCCAACATCTGTGTAGCTGTGACAACAGGCTTCCCTTTGATGTTGCACTTGTAAACCATTACCTTCTGAGCTAAGAAGATCTTTTCAATTGGAATTTCCATTCCCAGATCACCACGCGCCACCATGAATGCATCAGAATTAGCAAGAATTTCATCAAAATTAGCTACACCTTCTTGGTTTTCAACCTAAGATAATTACAACAGCATGTCATTCCAACATCAAGAAGTATATGTGACAACAGAACAATAAAGGTAATGAAGTAATCAAACAAAGGGGGCAGATTGAAGAGGAATCATATATTTGATCTTAAGCTTATTATTATATGTTGTCTACACACAGCTTAACAGTCCTGAGATGCACAACAACAATCAAAATGCAATTGCAAGATAGAAAAATTAACTTTGGTGCACTTTGAGAAAGAGTCGAACTTTCTGAGCAACTTGAAGAATTGCATATATCCTAATATTTGATATGAACTAATCAAACAAAGGCCACAAAGTAAAGATGAATGATATATTTGACCTAAGCTTATTCTTAAATATTGTTATACACAGCTTAACAATCCTGAAATACATAACAACAATCAAAATGCAACAGTAAGGTCAGAAAATCGACTCGAGTGGTTGAGCCAGATCTTTTTGAGCAAGAGCCAAACTTTATAGCCACAACCTGCACAGCTCCAGATTAGTATGCAATATATAAAACAATCAAGAAAAGTTTCTAAGATTCAAAGAAAACAAACCTTTGACATAAGGAGGATATTCTTAGCATGATGGCCCAGCACTTTTCGGACCTCCACTAGATCAGAACCCTTGCGTACAAACGACAAGGCAATCATGTCAATTTGGTTAGGGACTCCCCACTTCATGATGTCATCCTTGTCTTTTTCTGTCAAAGTTGGCAGATCCACAATAACCCCAGGGAGATTGACATTCTTCCTCTCACCGAGCATAGCAGTGTTCTCACAGCGGCAACGCACCAAACCATTCTCTCTGTCACAAGACAGAACAGTGAAGGTGATTGTGCCATCTGCACAGAGTATAGCACTTTGCGGTTTTACATCCTCAGCCAGCTTTTTGTAGCTCATACAGATCATATTCTCATCACCCATGATGGTGTAATCAGTGGATATTGTAATCTCTTGGCCCTGTGTCAGTTGAATGGGCTTGCCATCTTTCAGAAAACCAGTTCGAATTTCAGGTCCCTATAACAGAGAAAAACACAAATATAAAAGTCAAACCTCACAATGTGCGCATCTCGGCCTACTGTTTTGACCGTTCAGAAGCTCATCAAATTAGCATTTGAAAAATTAATCAGAGACATGAAAACGAACAGATTCTCGGCCTACTGTTGACCGTTCAGAAGCTCATCAAATTAGCATTTGAAAAAAGTAATCAGAGACAGGAAAACGAACAGATTATACGATATGATGCATATTGCGATCTGCTCATAAACTACAGATTTTGCACACTGCAACGAGCCAATTCAAGCAAAAGATTAAACGCTGAATATGCATAAGGTATATCTGCGGATAAACGATATGATGCATATTGTGATCTGCTCATAAACTGCAGAGTATTGCACACTGCAACGAGCCAATTCAAGCAAAAGATGAAACGCCGAATAGGCATGAAGTGTATCCGCCGATCAAGGATCAACGATCAACAATCAAATCCACGTACATATATATATATATATATATATATATATATATATATATATATATATATGTATGTATGTATATATAGTTATATATACCTTGGTGTCGAGCATGACGGCGCAGATAATACCGGTGTTCTCCATGGCCTGGCGGAGGTTGTTGAGCGTCTCCTGGTGGTACTCGTGAGATCCGTGGGAGAAGTTAAACCGAGCAACGTTCATGCCGGCCCGGAGAAGCTTCTCCGCCATCGGAACCGCGCGGGACGCCGGTCCGAGCGTGCAGACGATCTTCGTCTTGGGGCGCCTCTCCCCACTCACTCCGCTGTCGGCATTCGCAGTCGCCATTTTCCTTGGATCGATCCTTCCGGTCAGCTAACAAATAACTATCAATATACAGTTATTATAAACCAGTGTTGGTAGTGATGAGAGGGTGACAAATGTCATATGTTAATCTGTTTGAACAGTCTGATGTGGGCCCGGGGTGAGATATGAAAATGAAAAGTGTACCCTCTCCACTATTTTGGAAAAAAATGTTTACAGTCTCTAATGAGTTAATATTTTTTTTTAATACATTGGATTGTTTAAATAAATCACGAGTCACTTAATAAATTTTTTATAAGAGGAGAGATTCATCTCTACTCTAGCTTGAGATAGATGTTGTTAGTGGGAGTCGAAATACCACACTATTATTGGAGTGTTGACTTTAGATCAGGTGGTTGATTCTTTGTGCACACTAACATTTGGCATTGTCTGTTAAGCTATTGAGTAATCGTGATTTATATTCTCCCAAATGCTCCGTCAAGTGAGGGGCGGGACCTTTGAGGTTGGATACTCAACATTTTGGGAGAAAGATTGTAAGAGTGAGTGTAAGATCTTTTTATGATGGAGTTTATCTCATTTTTTGTCACCTGACTACAAAGAGAAGTGTTTTTTTTTTTTGTCATTTACTTGTATTAATTAATTTTAAAAAATGTTTCACCTTTAGTTCTAAATGTCTAAAATATAAATGCATTAAGAATAAAGTTTGGTAATTTAGTATTTCGAACATGCAGGACTAGGGGTTGAATGCTTTTTAAAGTAAAAAATTATAAGTGTAATAAACCAAAGTTGATAATAAGAGGTAAAAGAAAGTCATTATAATTGTGTGATCATTGAAATAAGCTCTTTAACAATATAAGGAGCAAAGAAAGTTAAAAAAAAATGCAATAATTATTTTCCCTTTGAATATCAGAATGTATATGTGTGGGGTAGTTAACTAGTTATTAAGATACCTACAAGTACGGACGTCGGTAGAGTTTCATGTAGACATTAAACATTAACTCAAGCACAGTAGAATTTCATGTAGGATATTTCTTTTTGCAACAATTTCATGTAGGATATTAGACATTAACATGTTGACAGTAAAATAATTTTCATTCAATCGTGAGACCAAAGAATGTAGAAATGATAATTTTAAAAAATAAATTCGAAAACACAATTATCATTTTTTAAAAAAGAACATCATCATTAGTTTCTTTTTTGGGGGTTCTTTGCAATTTTTTCCATAGACAGAGAAGAAAGAGGAGAGAGTTGAGAGTTCTAATGCTATTTTTTTTCTTCAAAATTTTCGATAAAAAAAAGCTATAAGAAAAAAACAAAACTTTATAATGCTTGTTCACCAACACTACTCAGCGAGCTCACAGGGAGAACGTTGACCGTTGAGTGGTTGCCAACTCTTTTCTTTTTCTCTCTTGATCCATCAATAGATTTGCTCTCTATAGTTCCGTACACAGTAAACATAAAGCTGATAATGATAATGTGGTGAAGTCACGTGTATTATCTCGGATTTCGCCGTCGGGCACTGGCTTTTCTTGAAGATCACGCGACTCTTATACTTTTACCATCTAAATGTATAATTCTTCTTCACTCCCCCCCCTCCTTTTCAATTCAAGCTACGTAGTACGAAAACGATGCCCTTTTTTATAATCTTTTTTTTTTTTTTTAATCCAAACTAAGGAGGAGTACTAAATCAAGAAACAAAATATAAAAATACAGTATACAAAACGTAAAGGAAACAAAATTCTATTTATTTTTTTGCTAGTTTATATTCTTTCTTCTCACCTCAGGCAATTGACGACGCTTTTCTAGCTTTGTATGCCTCAAAAAAAAATGTTTTTTTTTTTTTTTCAAACAAATCCTTCACAGTTCATCGTGACCTTGTGTTCCTTGTGGTAGCTCCCTGTCCAGCATCTTTAGTTTATCTTCGAGTTCCTATACATTTGTGTCATTTAACACAACATTAATTAGAAGTTGTAGAAGAAAATTATCTGGGTAGGAATATATGGAAAAATATTTGATGCAAGATCAATGTATAGATGTTATATATCGGGTGATGAATGAGGGAATGCCACATCATTTAAAAAAAATTAACATTAATCGGGTTCTTCTTTGCAAAATATTTATTGCTTTCTAAATTATTATACTTTTTATTAGGAAACTCTTTATTTTTTATTAATAAAATCTAATAAAATAGATATAATAATATTTTTCCTTATTATATAGGTAATAAATAGGTTTAGGAAATGAGATAGATTTTGTTAATAAAAAAAGATTTTGTTAATAAAAAATAAAGAGTTTTCTAATAAAAAATATAATAATTTTAAAAATAATAAATATTTGGCACTGAACGGACCCGATCAATGTTGATTTTTTTTTTTTAATGATATGACATCTGCTCATTCACCGCCTGTGTATGGCATCTGGCAGTGCACTAAATATTTTCGATACATAATCGACTGAAATTACAAGAGAGAAATTAAGATCACAATCTTTTGGTTTAGGATCGGGAGAATTACCTTTAGCTTTTCTTCTGAACAGAGAGCTGGTGTAGATAAAACTGCAAGATATCTGTATCCACAAACATGAAGTTAGATGAAAAGAGAAGAATGGGAAAAGCGCATGCAACTCAAAATTCAAAAATATAGAGCTAGAGAGTAATAGAGATTAAGAATCTTACTCGCACCGGCTAGGCTCATCTACACTATTTACCTCGTTTTTCAACCCACATCTTAGTTTGACCTGCAGAAGTAACAAAAACACAGGACAAAATAGGAAATGTGAAGAAAACTCTAACAAAGTAATTTTTACATGAAGAAAAGAAGATCCACATCTGTAAAAACTACAGAATAGATGGATGGAATTGTTCCATTTCAACAAACCAATAAAAGGAATAAACACAGAAAGTATGCTTCTTTTTTTTGACAAGTAAATAAAGATTAAGACAGGAGATACTACTGGCACACTGTTTTAAACTATGTCATAGTTTTATTGTCTTTGTCCATCTATGGTCGTAATATTTCAGTTTCTCATCAATTTTTAGCTGTTCCTTTAATTTTATTTTTGTTTTAATCATAATGAGGTATAAAATGTGTTGATATTTAACCAGCCCCTTAACTTGACCATTGAGACTGTGTGTCTATTATAACCGGTAGAGCATTGGAGAGTAACTGTTAACGTTGAAGTAACTTGCAGCAACATAGTACATAAACTTCACATTACAAAATTAAGAAATATGGGATCAGACAGAAAAGGGCAAAGATTATTATTACCTTTAGACTCCTATCTGGCCCATTCCAGCAATTATCTCCATTTGAAAATTGCATGGTTCTGTATGAGTCCTCAAATTTATCCCAATTCCTTAAATGACAGATCTCAAGTAAATAAGAACAAATCTTTGCATGCCAATTAAAAAAAAAGGGTTAAAGCTTAAACACACAAAATGCACATTTCAAAGTACAAATATGAAATATCAGTCCTGCCAAACCCAGAATGAAATGAACTTTTTCTTTATTTCCCCCATATGATCCAAACATTCCCATAACAAACTTTGCAGGACCCCATGCCAATGTGCGAATATATATAGCTCTGCCTCAAGATTATGAAGAAAGATTACTATTGCAAGTGAAAGTTCCAATACATAACCAAAGATAGCGAAGAGATATTTAAAACCACTCGTCAATTGCCTTTTAGTTTTTCAGCGGTTTACTAAGAGGTACAGTGATGCATAAAGTCATAGAACATATATATACCATAAAGATGTAAAAAGCCCTACCCCAAATAAGTTGTACTATACTCATCAACTTGTGTGGCCTTTTTGAAAGGGCAAATCTTGTATGTGTACCTGAAGAAAATTTTATAATAGCCAACCAGGAATTAATCAGAACAACTAAACTAGATTACTAGAGAACACACGATGCAAAATAATTAATGAAATAAAGGTTAAAATGAGAAGTCTGTAACTTGTTTTGCTTGATTTCAAAACATTGACCATGGAATGAATAGAATTCCTTCTCTGGCCCTGTAACAAAAATTTCAGCTTCAGGATAGGAATGTAATATTTTGAGGAAAGAGAAATAGGGAAAAGTAGCCCCCCCCCCCCCCCCCCCCCCAAAATAAAAAATAAAAAAATTGGTTGTGTAGATAAAATTCATAACACCTACCAAAATCACGCTTTAGCTTCCTTGTCAACTTAGATATTCTTGACTGAATTTTTGTCCACTTGGCAGTTGAACCATTATATTCTTTGCGTACACGTGCAGCCTCTGCAGAAGTGAAGTTAAAAAAACATGACCATTTATCAACTCTCTTTAAAGAGCAGAAAAGCACATGGATCCTCAAATGCTACCAGATATGTCTACTGGAGTTTGGAACAATTTAAAAGTCTTAAAAATCTTCTGAGCATTTCTTTTTATCTTCTCCAGCCAAGGTGGATTGCTTGTGCTAGTTATATCTGAGCAAATTTATTTTCAATTAGAATAGTGTATGCAAACCAAATTTTAGATGTAACAGGCCATGATATAGACCATAGAAATATTGTCCCACACACCTGATAAATCCAGTTCATCATCTGATGATGAACTTGAATCGTGATCTTCCCCTTCAAAATCATCCCCATGATCGTCAGTATCATCATCAGATAATAATGACGATGAACTTGAATCATGATCTTCCTCATCCATTTGATCTTCAGTGTCAGCTTCTGAATCATACATATTGTATTCTTCATCATGGTCACCATGATCATCTTTATTAGCCTTGGCCTCCCCTGTTTCCTGCTCAGCCTTCTTTCCTGTCCAACGAGAACCAACAACACGGCCCAACTCTTCCCTTGACAAGGACTCAGTATTTTCAGTAGCATCTTTCACCTAGAAATATCATAAAATTTATGGCCATAACAACAATGACAAAGCATAAACTTGTAATTTGATAATTACGGAACTATAAAGTGACTATGGAAAACATGTTTCATAGGCCAATCTGTAGAGCATTATGGGGCTAAAATATGTTCAAATCCACACCTAAAATGAGAAATGATGTAAACCTTCAAGTAATTTGATAGAAATGGAAAAGGAAAAAACATGTAGTAACCATCTCCTTTTAGTATGCATACAATCTGAAGCAACATGAGACTTGGCACAAGTTCTAGTATAAAAGAGTGAAGTCAATTTGGCCATCTACCTCACTGCTCCTAAGATCAGCTTTATTTTCACTTGCAGACGACCCCTCTTCTATCATAGCATGCTATACAAGATGAAACACAAGTTCAGTTATTCATTCCGAAGACTGATGATGATATTGCTCTTCAAATTTGTCCAGAGCATTAAAAAAAAAATACCTTGGGGGAGTCCTCTATCACCCTGCCTACATCATCACCAGGGGTTTCATCCATTATTGAAATGTCACTCTTATCAACTTTGTCCACTTTACTGCTATGATCTTCTACCACATTCTAATAGCAAAGTGTAAATAAGTAATGGATGAAGAAATAAACACTTAAAGAAATTTATATTAAATAATTTTGGTGATCAAAAGTTTTCCTTAACATATGAATGAATTTACAGGATGATTAAACACAGGGAATTGTACTGTCAAATGATCATAAGCATGAACTATTCATAGAATTATGCCCATTGATGATGAGCTAACTTTATCATAGGGATAAAAATTTTCAAGGAAATCCTTCTCCATATCCTATGATCAATTTCCAATCTATGGTAGATTAATTTTTGCAAGTGTGTTATTCAATTAATTTCTCTGTCCCACAAATCTTGTTTTCTTGGCTCTTGGGACAAAGTTTTAGGGAAATAAGTTTTTTTTTTTTTTTATAAAAAAAAAATGCGTAGAAGTGATATAACTAGAATACCCTTTAAGTGGATGAATGTAACTCACTAATGTCTAGCCACTTTTTAAATGAAGGGTAGAATAGGAAAATATATGTACTCAAATAGTTTTTTATTATTTTATTGGTAAGAGAAAGTTAATGGGAAATCTTGATATAAAAAGTGAGACAAGATGGGAAGAAGAAGAAGGGGGGGGGGGGGGGGGGGGGGGGGTAGTATTTAAGCCTACTTAAGTAAATGTAACCTCTAAAGCAGGAGCATCCTCAGAGGGAATCTTGCTATGGATGCCATCCTTCGCATTTTCAGCTTCTTCAAGATAATTCTCCCCAGTTTTGGTTACCTCCAACTTAGCTTCATCAGCTTCTTTCTTTTCCTTCTCCTTTTCTCTTTGCATTCGTTCTTTTTCCTCAGCCTCTTCTATCTGTTCCTTGTGCTCTTGATGAAAAGAAGTAAGCTAAAGTCAGTAGGAACTGTATAGCCTTTGGAATAGACACTTAAATATATCACAGATTTGTCAGATTATAAGACGAGTCTGGTGTAAATTTGCTGGACTAATATCAACAATGAATTCAACGAACTCCAAATGTCAAAATCATCAAAATTCATAACCATATCAAGCATTAAACATTTAATTAATCATTTTGAATTTTTGATTCACTTAACTTAGTTTTTATAATTATTTTTATGAATAGAATCAAAATATCATTCTACCATATTTTTTAAGAAATGCTACTATTTTTGCAACAAAAGTAACATCCATTTTAACTCCATTCTAATTACTCTTTGATATTTGTCTACCTTCATTTATTCAAATTTTTATACTCTATATATTGTGCGCATGATATTTTCTTTTAAAATGACAAAATTGAATCAAAATCATGGCATCACACCTGTAAATTATCAAAACTAAACTAGCAATCTGATTTTTCATTCTCTTGTGTAAGAATTTAAAATTGATCTGTAAAGAGAAAATGATGAAAATGCCTGCTGTCCCAACTCCCAAGTATGCCAAAGCTAATACCAGGATGATTACTGATCTACATTTCACTATTGTCAGTGGTAAGTATGCCATAGTTAGTTTGAGAGCAAACTGATATTAACTGCACCCATAAGAAGTTCCCGTGTTGCATTCCTCTCTCTCTGATATGTGTGTCCATGGAAATTTTATTTGAGGAAAAAAAAAAACTTTGATAGCAAAAGAAAATGATACCTTTCAACTGCTCAACTATATCTTTAAGTATCTTCTCCTCTTTTGTTAGCTTTGCTAGTTCTGCTTCCTCCTTCAAAATCGCTAGTTTTGCTTGTTCAACTTCCTGCTTCCTTATAATAACACCTTCCTGAAATATTGCAATTCTTTTCTTTAACTTATCTCTAGTCACCTTGCCAACCTCCCAACACATATCCGGGCACTTAGTTTTGCCACCATACTCATCACTCCCATCACAGCAATCTGCTCATGAGTGGCATTTTAAGTGTCAATACTCAATAGCAAATTAGCAAGTTCATAATGAAGTGTTAGCTTTGAGCTCCAAATAATTCGATTAAGATTGGTAGAGATTTATATCTTTGATAGTTGGCATGAGAGTATTACCATAATATTCAGTACCATGAGACAAGTTTTTGCAAGAGCTTAATGATAACCAGAAGAAGTTACTAGTGTATATACTTGGGCATGAATACAATTCATCATGTGAAGTTCACAGGCAAAGAAAATTTAGCCTGGCAAAAAATGTAATGATACCTGCTGACTTCATTGAGAAATAAAAATGATTATTAAAAACTAAAAACAAATACAAGAAGAAGAGGTTAGAGGCATTTCCATGAACTGCATGTCCTAAAATTTGCTGCATACAAATAGTTATCCAGTTGGCCAGTTGCTCATTCTTAGGAGTCAATATAAAATGGTAATACTGAACCAGCATCTGCATATTAGTTTAGTATGACCAAGGGATGTGAATAGATTAATGTGGCAAAATTCTTCACCATCTCTCCAGTTTCATTGCTGTATAAACATACAACTTCTTAAAGAGTAAATGATGAGATTGATTCACACATCACCATCAGGGGTGGAGGACTGGAGGTTCTTCTCAGATACACACAAGAGCCAAATTTCATCTGTTTTTCTAGTTTGCTCATCAAAACTGGATGGGTAATTAGTTGGTTATGTTTCATCAATCCATCCCTACTAATTCTTAGCCAATCTACAAGCTTGAGATCAATTTTGATACTTGAAGAATTGAAGTAAAGCCACTGGCCTAAGGGGTTGACAAGTAACTCTAAGAGACTAATTATGTATATAAGTAGTCCCAACCCAATGACTAAATAAATTCACTAGATATCACAGTTAGGCATTTCATTGTTTCAAAAGAAGCTAATAAATCACAATAGCAAGAATGTAAGGATTCATACCGCAGATGCCATCATTAACCATCGAGGAATTTATAAGGAGGGGCATATGTCCAGCATTCCGGCAATAAAACTTGCCATTGGGACATGCTGAGGTTCCTGCAAAATTGACCAGCAAGAGGAGTCAAAATTCTCACAACACAAGCATATATTTTGTGATCCTCACTTGTAGGGAAACAAAAACGCCAAAAACGAAATGCAACAATCCCAAATAGTTCCAATTGACATACAAACAAACAAGCTATAGAGAGAGAGAGGAAGACCTGGCTCATCCGAGCCATCAGGACAATCGCAGAAATCATCATTGAGCTGAGCCGGCGTGAATTTGTTGGATCCGTTTTTACATTTTATGGCAGCTCCGGATGACAATCCTTTATAGTACGTCTCATCTGTACACAAACACACATTACAACAACTCAATAAAACACACAAATAAATTGACGAAAACGGGGAAAGAGAAGCAAGCGGACCTTGAGGCGAGATTCCGAGAAGATCTCTGGACGGAAGAGAGGCCTCTGATCCGCCGATCAACGAAACACAAAGCAGCAACAACCACGAGAAGAAGAGCGGAAACCGTAGCAGCAGCATCTTCTTCTCGATTTAATCGAATGTGTAGTAGCCGTTACTTAAGCAGTAGTTGTTAGACTCAAAAAAATAGTATCTAAATTCTCATCAAAATTGGAATTCTGATGTTAATGTACCAATACGGTCGAACTGTGCTGCTCCGAAGTAAACCAAACGCGCGGAGGCGCAGCCGGATGATCGCGGCGAGGGACGGAGGAGGACTGGCGAAGTGAGGAGCAGGCAGCCTATCCTGTAAAATGGAAACTCAGAAGGCGGGGGTTGGTGCGAATTTTTACCAATTTGCCATGAACAAATGCTTTTTTATTTTTATTAGGGAAAATGACACTTTTTCCTACATATAGCATATTCCCCCCTTTTTCTTTTATGTAATCACTTTATTCCCCTTAATTATTATTATTATTATTATTATTATTATTATTATTATTATTATTATTATGTGTTTAAATCATATTTTGTTTTTTTTTTTTATGATAGTGCTTATTTTCTCTGTCTCATCTTACTTATCTTATTTATAATTTATTAATTAATTTAACTCATTTTTAGTTACTTCGTTAATTTTTTAAATTGTTAAATTAATTTTTTTTATGTTTAATAATATTTTTAATAAATTAAAAATAAAAAAGAAGTTAAATTATACGGAGTATTAATTTAAAGAAATGTTAACATAGTTTATATAATAATAATAATAATAATAATAATAATAATAATAATAATAAGGGAAAATGACACTTTTTTCCCCTTTGTTATATACTTATAGCACTTTTTTTTCCTAAATTATGTAAGTGACAGTTTTTTCCCCTGATATATTAAATGGACATATTTACCCTTAAAATAAATATTTCATTTATTTTTCTTCTCCAATAAATTATAACCACGATTTGAAAAAAATAAAATGCATTAAGTGTTGAATTTAGAATATTTTTAAAATAAAAAATAAAATTTTAAAAGAAAGTTTGAACCAATCGTTCAAATTGGATCCAAAATCGTGAACCGGCGGTTCAAAATAAAACTAAAACCGCGATTATATATACTTATATGTGAGAGTCAATATAAATGCAGAAAAAAACATACACTATTTGCAAATACTATAATTCTAATTTAAGCTATTGCTAGTAGTTGTTCCGATTTGAACCTCCGGTTCACGGTTCAGGATCCATTTTTTTTTCCAGTTCACGATTTTAATAAACGGAAACCCAAATATTGGGTTATGTTATGAATCATAACCGAAATTTTTTAATTTGACTGCTATAGTGTTTGGTTCAGTTCGAACCGAACCGTGGTCATCCCTACGTATAAGCAATAATTTGTTGAAGAAGAGAAATAAATAAAATATTTGTTTTAAGGGTAAAAATGTCCATTTAATATTATCAGGGGGAAAAACCGCCACTTCTATAATAATTGAGGGGGCAAATGTGAATGCATGAATAACTCATAAGGAAAAAGTGCTATAAACATATAACACAGGGGGAAAAAGTGTCATTTTCCCTAATAATAATAATAATAATAATAATAATAATAATAATAATAATAATAATAATAATAAGTGAAATGTCATTTTTACCCTCATATTTAACAGCCCTAACACTTATTTAATGGAGAGAGGGGAAAATATCCACTTAAAAAACAATTGAGGGGATAAAGTGGTTACATAAACAACACATGAGAAAAATATGCTATATGTAAACAACACAGGGGGAAAAAGTATCATTTTTCCTTTTTATTATATTATTATTAGAAAGAAAATTCATAACTACTATTTGAAAGTTTATACAAAGTAAACTATATTTTTATGGTTATCAAAAAAAAAATTATATTTGTATGTAATAACTGGCCAATTTAATTTATTATGAAAAATAATTTTTTATCTATTTAAATTTTTTTCTCATAAATTCTCTCCTGATGTAGCAATAAGTGTTCTATGTCCATAAATTGGCTTGACCCGATCAATTTATTTATAATAAATAACTAAATATCCAATCAAATAATGTAATGAAAAATTTTAAAATGTTGTGTAATATTACTCATTTGTCATGGCTCAAGTCGAATTAATTTAGCTAAAACTAATTCTTTTTTTTTTTTGAAAGTTACTGGTTCTATTACATTGTAATATCTGTTCATATACTTTCTCAACCTACTGAAACACAAAGAACCAATAACACCTCCACTGAGGCTCGAACTTATAATCTTCCAAATGGAAGTCCAACCCGGATACCATTGGACCACATAGTCCTGGTAGCTAAAACTAATTCAAATATTTTGCTTGTACAAAAAATTATTAAACGTTATCAAATTTTATAAAAGTGAAATATATTTGTCCTATGACTATTAAATATTTAAATTAGCTTTATATTCAGTTTACCTATTTTTATCACATTTAGTTATTTTAATTAAATTTTATGTAGACAACAATCGAAGTATGTTACAATTCCAATTTTTTTTTTTTTGAAAGCTACTGGTTTTATTACATTGTAGTATCTGTTCATATACTTTCTCAACCTACTGAAACACAAAGAACCAATAACGCCTCCACTGAGGCTCGAACTCATAATCTTCCAAATGGAAGTCCAACCCGGATACCATTAGACCACATAGTCCTGGTACAATTCCAATTTAAAATTATACAAATTTGAACACCTCATGGTGAAAATATATAGTTATGAATTAAAAATGTAATGCATTATTTATTTATTTTTATCAAACAAATTTGTAGAAGGATCGGATAAGGAAGTAACTTCATGGTTGAAGCATAAAATTGTTAATTGGATGTTGGTTAAGGAGATATCTTCATTTTGTTAAAATTAATGGTTGTTTTTTTTTTATAAGGAAGGGGGAGACCCTACATAAACACACTATTTGCCTCAATTGAGGTTCAAACCTTACACCTCCCACTTAGAGGAGCAACCTGATACCAGTGGACTACAAGCCACTTGATAAAATTAATGGTTGTTTTAAGTGTCAATAATAGTGTTCATGATGAGCTAAGCAAATGGTTACGCAACTTCACATATAAAATGGCATGTGAAACAAGAAAGTGATCCTAACTACTATTAACAATAGGGTAAATACCCAAAATGGTCCCTCGACTATAGCTAAATTCACAAATTGGCTCTCGATTTTCAATTTCAACCAATTAAGTCCTTAACTTTGTAATTTTAACACAATTTGGTCCTATGTCTATTTGACCGTTTGTTGATTGTGAATTTTGAGGATATTTATGTAATTTCATGGTCCATCGTCGGGTTTTTAAGGTTCTGATTGCATTTCCAGACCGCACTGTTACATTTTAATCCACTGCCGAAAGCAATCTACCAAATCCGGTTGTCTTTCTCCATCCTCTCTTTGGATTCAATGTAGTTGAGTTCGTACCAAAGCGAAGAAGAAGACGTGTTTCTAAACCAATGCAACGTCATCCTGGAGGGCTCCACGTGCTCCGACGAGAGCCGAAGTTTCTTATGGAGATCGTCGATCACGGTCAACAAACGATCAAATAGTATGGAGGACCAAATCGTGTCAAAATTACAAAGTTAAGGACTTAATTGGTTGAAATTGAAAGTTGAGGATCAATTTGTGAATTTAGCTATAGTCAAGGGACCATTTTGGGTATTTACTCTTAACAATATTCGCTTTTCATATCAATTAGAAATTTCCGTTCTCACATAGGGAGGGAGAGATTAATGTATTACTTGTGTAGAATCAGACCTACTTTCTTAAACATGACTAAAGAAAGACAAAATTATGTGTCAATTTAACGATGAATTATGATCACGCCACTTAAAAGATTGAACACATACTACTACAACAACATTTAAATACACGAGATTGTAAAATTTCTCATACGATGATAATATGCATACTAAATTTACATGATACCGGAAGTAAAAATACATGGTACCCTCAAGAAAACAAAATATGCTCTATCCCCAACAAGGGTGACCTAGTGAGTGAAATATCATTGTCCTACCACACGAATTCAATTATTATTAATACCCTTTCGGCCGAATCCAGTACACACCCTCAAGTAGTAGTTACATGTTTCCCTCGACACTCAAAAGAAGACATAACTGCACACACACATATATAAAGGATACAAAATTGCATGATCCTACCAGGCATCCAACACAAACCATTAACCCAGAACTACAAAAGCAGAACAAAGAAAAAGGTAACAGACAGGCCATTTTAGTTTTGACATGTGTAATAGCATACAGAAAGAACCAAGAATTGTCAGCCACTCATTTCTCCAATGGCATTTTCATCATAAAGGGGAAGATGGAGACCTTCCTTAAGCTGCATAACACAAGATTGTTAGAAGCATAAACACAAATGAGGATGTTTTAATTTCCCATGTACTTCACTCAGGACAGGGGACAGGGAATTCCTCACAGGAATATATAGGAAAAAGCTTAAGAAAGCTTGCTGATATATTGCCTACTTATGCATCTCAGAGGCAAAAGATAAGTAGATATAAAGAATATAATGAACATATGTAGCCCAATATTACAGATAAAGCCCCTAAAATCTGTAGCAATTGATCTGAATATGCATCTCAGAGGCACAAGATATTAGGTACAGAGAATATAATGAACATAAGTTGCCCAGTATTACAGATAAAGCCCCTAAAATCGGTACCAGTTGATCTGAATATGCATTTCAGAGGCACAAGATATTAAGATATATAGAATATAAGGAACATAACTGCCCAGTATATCACAGATAAAGCCACTAAAATCGGTAGCAATTGATCTGAATATGCATCTCAGAGGCACAAGATTGTAGATACAGAGAATATAATGAACATAAGCTGCCCAGTACTACAGATAAAGCCCCTAAATTGGTAGCAATTGATCTGAATATGTCAGCTACTAACCAAGCACTTTGCATGAGAAATGGCTGAAATGAAAACCATTGGCAAGCAGATCTGAAGTAATAAATAGTAAGTTAGTATGGGATAAGGCTTAATATCACCATTCACCAATAGCGTTCGAAAACAATTGGCATAGAACATAATTTCAACATTTGTGTAGGACATACAGCTGAGGGAACAATGTAAATTGATTTCAAGTTTCAGTCACCAGTAATGCGCTGTCTATGCTGCTGCTTCCCATCTCTGAGTATTCGGTCTAGCTTAACACCCAAATCCGTATAATGATAACAAGTTCGATAATTAAGTGAACCTCAAGAACTACTCATTTTTAAAGGAAAGGTGACACTGCACTCAAAGCCAAATAGAAGCTGGGAATGGAATTCATGTACTGTACAAAACCACA